ACATCCATTGAAAACAATTGTTCAATAATGTTGATGATGATGATGATGATGATAGAGAAATGATGGCAGACACAACAGAGCAACAAAAATAAAACAAACAAATTTTACAATTAATTTCAATATAATCATCATGTTGATCGTTTGATCGTCTGTCTACATGCTGTGTATGATTTGAAATTAATCGATTCATATTCAATACGAAGAATGTGTCAATAAGAATAATGTTTCAAACAACAAAGGTCAATGAGAACAAAAACAAAAACAAAATTTGAAATTTGAAATTGAATTCCAAAAATAAAACAAAAACAAAAACAAATTAACCATAATCAACAATGGAATAAATCCAAATGGAAATAATTCTTCATTGAAAATAAAGATGGATTATCCGTTGTTCTAGAAAAACAAAAACAACAACAAAAAAAATAGAAATTTTGACAAAATTTCTATTTTTTCGTCAATCAAACTGCCATCATTGTTGTTGTTGTTGTTGTTTTTTTTTTCGTTTTCGATGATGACATTGAGCCTTTTGTAGCTACTATATCATCATCATCATCATCATCATAATCGAATTCAAAAAAAAAATTTTGTTCAACATCTCCTTTCGTCATTTTTCCTTTTTTTTTGATTTATTCTCACCCGCAGAGATACCAATAACAACAAGTGTCCACTTGTTGTTGTTGTTGTTGTTGTTGTCATTATCTAATGATGATGATCATCATCAATGAATAAATTTCGTAACAAATTGATTTCCCATCGTCATCATCATCATCATCATCATCATCATTTACATTTGACAATCTTTGATGATGATCATGAAAAAAACAATGGAAGAAAAAAAAAGAAAAAAAAGGAAGAATGAGAAATCCGTCGTCGGTCAGTTATTTTTTTTGATGCGAAAAAAATTGACCATTATTATGGAAAAGAAAAAAAAACAATAATTGTTATTAGAATCATCATCATCGATCAATCGATCGATCGATCGATTGATCGATCCAAGATCGATTGGATCATATTTAATTCACATTCAATCATTTTTTTTCTACCATTTCATAATTGTTATTGGAAAAAATTGAATTTTCAGCAACACTGAAATGATGAATGACATTGCAGCATCAAGCACAAGTCAGACAGACAGACAGACAGACAAGACACTTGGATTCATTTTATTATTCTAAACGAATCTCAAAATAAAACACACACCTACATATTGCACCACTTTTTGTTGTTGCTGTTGTTGTCGTTGTTTTCAATGTGTGATAAACGGAATAATCAGCCGATCATCAATAAATACACATTATGGCAAGTAGATAATGATCATGATCATGATGATCATCATCATAAAATTTTTAGAGGTGATAATTTGATGGTTGAAAAAAAAATGAAAATGAAAATGAAAATTGTAAATTTTTTTCACCATTTTCTCCATTCATTATAATGATTACCTGGATGAATAAACAACAAAAGGTCAACAACAGAATTAATAGATGATGATAATGATGATGATGATGATGTCCATATAAATATTACACGTAACGAATAAATTATTTTAGATACGTAGTAGTTAATTTATGAATGAAAATTTGATAAAGTTGATATAATGAGTCAATTAGTTTGTTTGTTTGTTGTTGTTTTTTTTTCATCGGACAATAAAAACAGATTGCAATCGCCATCGCCATCATCATCATCAATAAAAGAATTTTTCACTGAAACACCTGATGACCTGCCAAAAAAAAAAAAATAATAATAATCATATATAATATATGAATCGAATGAATTTGATGTGTTGTGTTCCATTATAAAACTGTCATATTTTAAAAAATCATTATCATCATCATCATCATAACATTGTGTAAAGACAAACAAACTGTATGATGATGATGATGATGATTGTAATGCTCGATATATATCTTCAATCTTTATCATGGTCTTTGTCATTTGAAAATGTATGGCCAAAAAAAAAAAAATTCTTATCACCACCATCATCTTTATCATCATCATCATCATCATGAACTTGTATATCATTGTTTGTCATCGTCAAATAATAAAAAAAAAACGTAAACACTTTGCTATTGCAACTACTGTCTATTGTTTATCATCATCATCATCATCATCATCACATATTTAATCACATGTGATTGTTATGTAAACAAATTGCCAGAAATATATGTGTGTGTTTGAATCTGCAAAAAAATGTTTGTCTGAAAATTCTACACGGGCTTGTGAAAATTTCAATTATTCAATTCCAATGGTCTGATTGAACATGAATATGTAGATGGTGGCCCAAAATTTTAGATATTGAAGAATTTGTATTGATTCAATGCCATTATCATCATCAACCATCATCATCATCATTTATTATTATTCACCAATAGAATAGTAGAATGATGATGATGATGATGATGATGATGATGGTAATAATCAATCATTGATATTACAGAGTAAACAAAACAATTTTTTAGTGTATGAGAGAGAAAGCAAGACGTTCCAATTTTGTTTTGTTTTTTGTTTTCATCATCATCATCATCATGATCATATCATATCATAACCATAGCCATCATCATCATCATCATCATCATAATAATATATCCAACCGTGAACATCATCATTATCAACACTATTCATCGATTTGTTTGTTTGTTTGTGTATCTTCAAACAAAAACATACACACTCACACAACAACAACAACAACAACCTCGACATCATGATCATGATCATCATCATCATCATCATCAAAAAAAAAAATGTGATCACGTTCAAATCGAAAATAGCCACCATCATCATCATCATCAAGATCTCAAGATGAACACAATTCAGAAATTCGAAAAAAAAGATCTTGAAAAAAATGGATGGATTAACAACAACAACAACAAAAACAAAAAGAAGAGTAAAATAGTTCTATACAAGAGCAAATTTGGATTCGTTTTTTTTTTTTGATATTGGAACCATCTCTTCTTGTTCGTTTTGTATCGAAAATCATTTTCCTAATCCTAATCCATAATGTAATTGTTTTTTTCCTGCTCTTTTACAAATCACATTAAATACACACACACACACACACACACAGAGAGAGAGAGAGAGACAAGGAAATTCTTATGAAAAAAAAATCTATTAAGCTCGAAACACACATGCACACACACAAATCAAACATCAAACAACAGCAGCAAAAATGACGTATTCGCCAAAAATAAAGGTCGAATTTGTAATGTTGGAGAGAGTGAACAAATGCAAAAAAAAAATCATAGCATTTCAAATGGAAAAAATATTTGGAACACACACACAACAACAAGATGCATCGTTTTTAAAATTGAAAAAAAAATTCATTTTTTTTACGAAATTTCATTTCAAATTTATTCATGTCATTGTGTTGTTGTTGTTGTGTTTAGAAGGAAGAGACACACATGAACATTTTATTTTAATGGTGATGGATAGATAGATGGATGGATAGATGGATACTTTAATCATCCATCATCATCATCATCATCATCATTAAAATCATCATCATGGTAAACCATTACAAGGTGCCAGATTCCATTATATATAGCCATATTTAAAGGGTGCCACACACACACACACACACACACACACACACACACATTCTTATATTGAATAGTAGATATTATTATTATTATTATCACATGCAAGATGTCAGTTGAAATCAACTTGAAATTAATTTCACTACTACTACTACTACTAATGTAAAGTGGATAGATAGATATAACCTGTGACTACTATTTAACCAGCTAACCAACCAACCAACCAACTAACCAACAATAAAGAAAGAAACCAGAAAACGAAAACAATCATTTTGTTACCGTTTGTTGTTGTTGTTGTTATTATTTGAATGCGATGAATAAAAAATTTTCAGATATAATTTAGATTGTTGTTGTGGTTGTTGTTGTTGTTGTTGTTGTTGCAGTTGTTTGTTGTTGTTGTTTTGATTATTATTATTGTTTTTTTCTTGTCATTTTTTTCTGGTAAATTATTTGTGTTTGCGTGTGTGTGTGTGTGTATGGAATACTAAAAATAATTTTTGTTTCCATTTCTCTTGGTGGTCAATTTAGTATCATCATCGTTATCAACTTTTTTTGTTGTTGTTGTTGTTGTTGTTTTATTTTTCCGTTCAACTGGACAGCAGAACAGGTGACCGATTTATATATCACAGCAGCAGCAGCAGCAACAACAACAACAACAACAACAACAACAACGATGATGATGATGATGGCAAATTTTACATTAGCAAATCATTATTATGGAATTTAAATTTCATGAGAAATTATCAAAAATTTCTATTTGTTTTAGAAAAAATTTTTCTATTTTCAATCAATTTTTTTTCCTATGCCGGCAGCCGTCAATGCAATTGCTGGCTGTCCATAGGAAAAAAAAACCGTAGGATGCCCACATTACCAGATATGACGGAGAAATAAGAATCAGAATAAAAATTAACAAATCCATTTTAGAATGAGCAAGTAAAAAAAAAAAAAATGGCGCCTATTTTAACTTGATAATGATTTATTTAATGTGGCAGAAAAAAAAATATATTTTTTCTGGCAGAAACAATTGTAAGCAGAATTATTTTTTCTGGAAGTAAAATATTTTTTTTTTTTTTTTTCGTAAGTCAATTTAAGTTTTTTTTTGTAAGGTTAAAAAAAAATGAAAGTATTTTTATTTATTTGGAAGGTATAATTTTAATTATCGGTGCACTATTCTAATTTCTTTGGTTAGATATTGAATTTTTTCCAGATTTTTTTTTTTTTTTTTGAAAATTGACTGGAATTAAGTCAAAATTTAATTTTTTTTTTTAAACAAAAATTACACCACAATTGTTATAAAAAAAAAGTTTAATATTAATAAAATAAATTTCGCGCACAAGCATTTGATTTTCTTGCGAATCAACTAAGATGATGAACATATGTCATGGCCAAAAAAAAAAAAAAAAAAATTTTGCTCTCAAAAAAATGTTTAGGTTTTTTCTGTGATTTGAACAAGATGGTAAAAAAAAAATTATATTTAAACATTCGATTTTTTTCCACATTGTCTTTTCCACATCATCATCAGTGTGTATGCAACATGTACAACAATAATGGATTGGTCTTTTTTTTCAACTGTGGCGGAATATTATTCCAGCGAAGATACTTCAAGTTCGGAAATCACTATATTTTAATGATTAATAACAAACACATCAACAAAACTGCTGGCACCAAATGAAAATTTTTATTTAATAATGAAGAACTTAAAGAATTTATTGATGAAAATTGGAATAAGTGGTATCGGAGTGATACTGAGAAAGATATCAAACAATATTACCGATGCAACAAGGTAAATATATGATGTTCAATATATGATAATATTATTATAATTTAATCGTATTTTTTCCAGGTGAAAAAGAATGACATACAATGCCGAGCACACATTTTTATCTCATATGACAAATTTTCTGAATCAATTTATTTATACCAAAACAACGAAGATCATACATGTAGCGAAATCATCTCAACAAGTAATCGACTAACAAAAGAATTGAAAAACAAAATAACATCGATGTATGAAGAGAAGCAAAAACCAAAACAAATTTATGAAAAGCTAAAAGGAGAAGGAAATGTATTGAAACAAACCCTGTTTGGGAAGGATTTCCGTTTTTTGTTATCGGAACGGTTGACAAAACAAAAAAATTCCATCCAATCGCTTTGTCTATTTGCTCTGATGAATCAAGAGCAAGTTTTCTCAAGATTGGACCGAAGGGTATAATTGGGCCAAAAGCCTGAAAATTATTGTTAACAAACCAAAACCGGATGGGACGATATATTATTTGTTCCCAATCCGAAGATGTCAAAGAGCTCCCGTATAAAACTTATTCCAATTATGGCAATCTCCGATGGAAGTCTTTCGACTATTTTAAGAAAGCATCGTCGAGTTGTTGGTTCGTCTGGATAGAAAAAGATTCATGGAAATCAGCAGTTTGTACGTGCAGTGTGTATAGTTTGAAAAATTATAAATGTAAACATTCAATTGGTTTAGCGATTCGTTTGAAACTGACCCAGCCACCAATCGAAGCCAAACAAGTGGCAATTGGCCAAAAAAGAAAACGTGTGTATAATCAACGTTATCATCGTTATGGCGTTATGTTATTTTTATATTTTAGATTTTTTATACTGAAAAAAAATAAATAAAATTTTTCAGATGAATTGTAAATATTTCTCGTGTTTTTTGTATTTGTTTTTGAATTCGAATATCAATTATCAAAAATTGAATTAATTATAATTTTTCTTCCAAAAATCGAATATTTTTACTTCCAAAAATCAATTAAATAGTAACTAATTGAAAAAAATAATTTCTCTGCCAAAAAGAATACTTTCAAAAACAGAAATGTTTCCTGCCAGAAAAAATAAAAAATATTGCTACGAAAAATAGTCGCGAAAAAAAAATTCCATATTTCAGATGTTATTAAGCCGAAAAAAAAATTCCTGTCTATATTCATGTCAATCAATAATTTGTTGAAAAAGAAAATTTCATCACCAAACAATTTTGTTCAGTCAATTAAGCAATCAAGCAAGCAAGCAAGCAAAAAAAATGCAACTAATTATCTAGTGATAAATATAAATCGTGCTGATGATAATTATCATTGATAAACAAGCCAGAATAGGCTGTGTGTGTGTGTGTGTGTGTGTGTAATTATGAATTTTTCTTCATTTTATTTCATTTCATCAATCGCCCACTCTCACATTCTCATTAATTATCAGGTATAAAAGTAGACAACAACAAAAAAACTCATGATTACTCCCAAACACCAGAATAAACTTTTGTTTTTTTTTTCAAATAAAAAAAAAAAATACAATTCCACTTGGAACATTGAAAAAAAACAGATTCACACAGATGATTTTTCCCACCATTGTCATTCATTCATTCATTCATCATCATCATCATCAGAACCATGACAAATATCATGATTGACCATCATCATCATCATCATCATCAAGGTAATGGTAACAAACAGCAAACAAACTAAACTGGGTTTGAATGAAACATTTTTTTTTTTTTTTTGGAACAGAGAAAACCATTTTTTTCCATCACAAACACGCACACACACGGCATTTTTTTCTTTATTTTTAGCGATAATTTTATGCAGAAATTTTTTTTTAAATTACAATTTGTAATTACAACAAATATGAAAGAAACTAAACAAAATAAAAAAAAAACACCTATTCAACCTTGAATTATTGATCATTATCAATAGCAATCTATATCTTATGTTGGCCAAATTGGCCACCAAATGTTTTGTTTTTTTCAAAATCAATAATCTGTCTCTCTCTCTCTCTCTTACTTTCTCTTTATGGAAAACAAAATCCAATCTATCGTTAATCAAATCATGAAATTATCTTTAATTTGAATGAATTTTATGGATTGAATTGAATCAAGAAAATAAATTTTTTTACCTTCAAACAACAGTGTGTTTACCATTGTTGTCGTTGTTGAATCAAAAATGAATTTTTTTTACCTTCAAACAACAGTGTGTTTACCATTGTTGTCGTTGTTGATAATCACCGATTTTGATTGATTGATTGAATGAATGAATGAATCGAGAATCAGAATAGAATTCATAATGAAAACAAAAATGTACAAACAACATAATCTTCACAATAGAAATTTCAAAATGGGGATTCTCATCAACAATCAAAGATTGAATATGATGAATAAACACAGTAGTTGATTTTTTTGCACACAAACAAAAACACAGCACACAGGTGTGTCGTCTCGATCCTGTTGATGATATAAAATTATAATGATATAAATGAAGTCAACAACAACAACAACAACAACAAACGAATAATCAACAAGTTGTTGGCTAGAAAAAAAAAAAAAGATTTAAAAGAAAAACAAAAAAAATGAGATTGAATGATTGACACCGATTGGAACCGCATAACACACACACATACATTCATTACCATTTTATTTATTTATTATCATTATTATTATCGAAATCAATCAATCAATCAATTGATTGATTGATTGATATAGTGGAGATTATCAATATCAATCAATTTGATCAATCTACCGGTTAATGATGATGATGATGATGATTTATAGACGTACATAACATGCATACATACAAAAAAGAACATTTTTTTTCATTTTGTATAACAAATGATTGAATTGAAAATCAATCATTAACTGAATAAAACAAAGTTAATGAATGAATGAAACAAAACAAAAAAAAAAAACAAGACAAAGTAGATCAAAACATTGAAAATTAATGAAAACAACAACAAAAAAAACGTCTGTGTGCGCGTGTGTGCACGTGTTTACATATAATGTCAATGTCTCATATCATTATCAATTGAAAACTTAATGGTTAAAAAAACAAAACAAAACAAAACAAAACAAAAAATTTGTCGAAATTTAAATCAATCATCACATGATTAACATAACATCTCTTTTCTGGATTTATGAAAAAATTAAATTTTTACCAATCACCAATCACCATCACCACTGAATCGAAAGTATTTAATGATGACAGAACAAAAAAAAATCATCACAATCGAAACGAATTGGATTTGGCCAACAATCCAGTAAAAAAACAAAATGGTCAAATGAAATCGTTTTGTTTTGTTCTGTATAATTGTCGAAAAAAAAGCCGAATAATCGATATTATTATTATTATTATGCAGCCATTATCCATCGGCCATCACGATTTTAATGCAATGATGATGATAAACCATGACAACATCAACAACAACAACAACAACAATAACAATGGTGAATAGAAAAATCATTAATGTTTAGCCAAATGGAATGGAATGCAATGGAATGTTTGTTTGAATCATTTCCACATACACACACACACACACACACATGGCACAATAGAAACACAAAAAAAAACAACAAAAAACAAAAACACACATACACCCATAATAATGAATACAAACAAAAGATGTTCAATCGAATAAACTAAAAAAAAAAAAAAAATTTCGTTCAATGGGGGTGGTGGGGAAAAAAGACTTGCATATGAATATTTTGTTCCTGTTAATACATGATGATGATGATGATAAGTAAGTGAAAACGAATGAAATCGAATGAATAAAATCTTCATCACTACCTGTGTTACACACACACACAAATACAAATACAAACAAAAAAAAAAATAAGCCGCAAAAATGGCTTTTCAATCATTTGTGATTCTTTCAATCTTACAAACAGCCGCATTCCAAATGGATAGCAGTTTTTTTTTCTTTACCACTGACCCTTTTTAATTCAAAGTGGATGGAATTTGACTGATCGATATATATATATTCAAATCGATCAAATCGATTATTATTACACAGACAATCTGTTCGACAACAACAATGACAAAAAAACAAAATAAAGATAAAAAATTGATTGTTTGTTCATTGGATCAATGAACGGCAAACATCGATTATGATGATGTCTGATGATGATGATGATGAAAAGAAAAGAAAAACGACGAATTTTTTTTTTTCTGCACTCCACATTAACCTGGTTTTAAATTTTTATTTTTCTTTTCTTTTGTTTCCGTAAACAAAAATTCATAATAATCAATTAATCTTATTGGTTTTGCACGTGTTTGTGAGTTCGTGCAAAATGTGAGAAAGAGAAGAAAAAAAACTAAATCTCAATCTCAATTTTTTTTTTTTGTTTGGTCAGCAAAAACAATTTGCCAAATTTTCATACTCATATCAATGGTGGTGATAAACTTGGCACACAAACACACCTGATAATTTTTTTTTTTTGTTCATTTTAATCATCAATGGAATGAAAATGTTTTTATTAAATGTTAATGATGATGATCTACTAAACACCTTGTTTTGTTTTTTTTTTTCAACTCATTTCTTGGCTCATTGTGATGGTGGTGGTGGTGGTTATTGTTTTTTATTTCAGTAAATCGATATTCTAAAAATAGATTGATGATTCGATTGAACCAAAAAAAAAAAAAAAAACGCTGGCAACAATTGCCAATCGAAATGGGAAAAGTGAAATGAAATACCGATTGAACGATTTAATCTGAAAATGAATTTTTTTTTTTCCACCACATGTCATGATATATTTGGATTTTTTTTTTTTTTTTTTTTTGGAAACAAAATTCAATTCGACTGATATTTAAAAATTTAAAAGCGTGATCATTTCATTGATAATGATGATGATCATCATCATCATCTTCATCGTCATCACCACCGCCCTAAACTTTCGATTTTTTTTCTCGTTATTGTAATATTCAAACAGTGGAATAAAATAATGTTTGGTCAATGTGGTGGTGGTGGTGGTGGTGGTGGTGGTGGTCAGTCAGCCAGTCAATATTCCCATAAATTATGTATACCGTTTGTGGAAAATAAAAAACGTGTGTGGCTATTTTTTTTCGCTTAACATCATAATCCATTATTCAACAACAACAACAACCACAACAACAACAACAACAACAAATTTATCAGATTAAAATGGCCGACAATTACCGAAACCAAAGTGAACAAAAAAAAAACTCTGTGGTTGAAATTAAGGCGAGTAAAAAAAAAAAGAATCCCTTTGGATCGACAACAACAACAAATGGACCACCATCAGAGTGATGATGATGATCATCATCATCATTTTTTTTGTTTGGCCACCACCATGGTTTATACATGATGCGGTGATAATAATAAAAAAAACGATAGATTTTGTATGGCCAAAAAAATATTAATAATAATTGACGGTTTGAATATTTTTTATATGCAACAAGTATGAATAGAAATAAAAACCACACACACACACACACACACACAACCAGCATGAAAAAAAAGTGCGCAACTTCCACCTATTGTTATATTGGGAATGAATGAATTACATATTTTGGATTCAAACCAAAAAAAAAAAAAAAAAAAAATACAAATCAGAATTTGACTGCTGCTGCTGCTGCTGTCCATCATACAAATACACACGATAGGTCACGAAAACAAAACCCGAAATATTCACTTACAAACATACAGCCAAAATGGGTGTTAAAACAAAACAAAACAAAAAAAAAAACAAATTTCTTCGAGATGTTCAAGATCAAAAATTTGCAATGATATGCAAAATAACTGTCAATTTTTTTTGGCCATGATTATATGGAACATGTCGGTATTTTTTTTGATTCGACATTGTTTTTGTTGCTGCTGATGACGATGATGATTACAATAATAACAGTGTGCATATATGGAAATGGTCAATTTAGCCATTGTTCCAAGACAAAAAAATAGGTGAAGAACAAATAACGGAAAAAAAATCAAATTCACATTATGGTCTATGATTATCTTTTCGTTTTTTTTATTTTGTCGCCATGTTTTATATAAGGCTTCTGTTCATGCATGTATATGTGTGTGTGTGTGTGTGTGTGTCTGATGCAAGAATGAATAAAAAATCAGTAACCTGTTGCTAGTCTCTGTGTGTGTGTGTGTGTGTGTTTTTAAAGGACATTTTTTTTGGATTAAAATTGATTTGAACATCTTAAATCATCATCATCATCAATCAATCAATCAATCAATTACAATATAACAATGAATGTCTGTGTATGTTTTTCATTTCATCGTTTTTTTTTTTTTGATCATTTTAAAATTCTTCCGGGAGCCACAAACAAAAGCTCTTTGAATAAATCAATTGATCTGGTATGGTATGGTCTGGTCTGGTTTGGTTTGGTCATGCACACAAAGGATCTATAAATCTTTTTTTTCTGTTCAAATCTAGATAATCCAGGGATATTCATATGAATTTTGGCAAAAAAAATTGATTGATTGATCTCATTTATCTTTCATTTCTTGTTGTTCTCGATTTTTCTTTCTCTCTCTCTCTCTCTGTGTGTGTGTGTGTGTATTGATTGATTAATCGAATGAAAACAAAAAAAAATATGAATCGATAAATGAATAAAAAAGCAAAATCATTTACATATAATGAGCTGTTTTTGTTGTTCTTGTTGTTGTTGTTGTTGTTGCTGTTCTAAAAGTGTTGAAAAAATCATCATCACGATTTAGATATAATGGATAATCCAATCAATAATAATCATAAAAAAAATCAAAGCGATCGATCTAATGGCAACAACGACGACGACGAATATTTGAAACATCAATCAATCAATATGTATATACAAGTGAGAGAAGAGTAGAAAAAAAAACTAAACAAATCAATGTGATTATCCATTTCATCGAACCAAAAAAAAAAAAAAAAAAAATAAAATAAAAAGATTATCAGTTAGTTATCGATCAAGCAGATTGTTGATGAACATGATGACCAAGGATTGATTGTGTTAGAATGTTTAGTTGTTTGTTGCACTAAAAGATTAAAAAGATCAATCCAGAGAATGTGGATGATGATGATGATGATGATAATAAAAAACAAAACAAAAAATGTTTTTGAAGAAAAGCCGATGGATTGTCAGTGTGTGTGTGAATGGATGCTAAAAATAGCGAAAGAAACTTGATGATTTTTGTTTTCTCTTCACACATACACTCACACACACACACACACACACACAGATCGCATTGATTGGATTTTTTCCTTTCTGTTGTTTCCATCTTCATCATTGCAATTTTCTTTTTTTTAAGCCGATAAAACACAAAAAAAAAATTTAAATTCAAATCAAATCACAAAACATAAAATAAAATGAATCAATGTTATGGAATACTGATAATATGCATGTTACTTACAATGAGATGATGATGATGATGATGATGATGGCGGCGGTGGTGGTGATGTAAAAACATTGAAACATTCAAGTCAAACACGATTCTCAATCAAACGATGAACATGTGTGTGTGTGTGTGTGTGTGGATGTTTTCTGTTTATGTTTAGTTACCTGTCGCGTTGTTTTTTTTAAAATTCTTTTCATCTGTAAAAAAAAGTAGAGAAAAAAATAAATTAAATCAATTGAAATCAGCCATTGAATGATGATGAAACAATAGACTTATCATCATCATCATCATGTATATATAGCATCAATATATATCCATCGTAAAAATCATGTTGTGAGGAATAAATAAATAAATCCATTCTCATACGTTAATCTTATCGATAAAAGGACAAGGTCAATCAATCTGTGTGCGGGCGTGAATGTTTTTTCTGTTTGATTGGAATTTCTAAAAAATCGAATTCGTTACATTATCAGCTTGTAATATAATTGATCAGTTGATGATTGATGTAGTATTTTGTTACATTGTTCAAGATTGATCATCATCATCATCATGAAATTTTAATGACGATAAAGTTCAAGGTTTTGTTGTACATAGTGAATATATTGTTTTAGTTTAATTTCATTTTCTCCAATGTATATGTTATTTGATTGAAATCAATCGATATTGCCGCTTTTATTCCGTTTCCTGGTTTACATTTTATACATCTTCATTCATTCATTCATTGATCATCATGATATGGTCAGAGATTGTTTTTTTTTCATTGATTTTAAATAAAATCATGAAATGCGGATATGCTTGTTGTTGTTGTTGTATTCCAAATGTGTACGTAGAATGGGCGAATCAAATGGGCAAATCGAATGGAAAAAACGGTGTGATGATAAATTAGAGGACAGGCAAATAAAATTGATTTCATGATCAATTGACAAGAGACTTCGACAGACATCATAACATATAGACATCAAATCAGTTGATCATGTGGATGATTTGAATCCATTTGGATAATGATGATGATATACAATTGTATCAAAATGGCAGATAAATAAAAAAATTTGATTGAAAGTGAGCGTTATTATTATTCCACATTCAGAATGGACATGGCATAAAAAAAACAGGATTGAACCATCAATTCATTTTGATAGGAAATGTACGACTTGTGTGTTGTTGTGGTCAAAATCATCATTTCATGAAATGAAATGCTATACGATGTTGTTGTTGTTGTTCATATATAATAACCACCATTGCACCTACACAATGAAAAAAAAAGAAAATAAAAACCATATAGATTATTCAATTTGGATCAATAATAAATTGATCGATGATTGTTACTTTTTTGTCGATGATGATGATGATGATGATTCAATTCTCGTATACAATGAACAATAGCCTGAAGAAGTGCATGGTTATTCGATGACAATATATAAGCAATGTAATGCAATGAATGAATGAATGAATGAAAAAGAATTTCCGGATTAAAATCGAAAGTGTGATAAATCAATTGTCATCTAGAGAATGTATGATGATGGTTTTTAATCGAAGAAAAAAAAATTGATAAAGATAATCAACAAGTGAAGCAATAATAATAATAAAAATAAAAAATTACCATTGTTTGGTTGATCCTCAATCAATTTTCTGAAATGGATTTTCAATTTCAATTTTCAATTTTCAATGAATGAATCTTGATCGTCTTTACTAAATCGTCCAACAAAACTGCTATTAGTTATAATAATAATACAAATCTTTATTGTTTTAATTTTTATTGTTGAAATTTCATTTTAGATGATGACAAGATTAATAGATTTATTTATTTATATTTTGTGATCAAAACATTCGGTGATGATAATATTAAACCCAATAATTAGAAAAAAAATCCTCAAAGATTAACGATAATGGTAAATGAAAATGAAATCGAATATCATTGAAAGATTACGTGGAAAACAAAATCGAATATAAGAAGGATTGACTTTTCATTTTCATTTTCATTTGAATGTTGAAATAACAAAAACACAAATAAATACTGATCCATTCAAAAAGGACGGAAACCATCTCTATTGTTGTTGTTGTTGTTATCGATGTGTTATTTCCTGAAAAATGATTAAAAACCCAAAAATCAAACAACAACAACAACAAATCGTTCCCGTTTTTGTTGTTGTTGTTGTTGTTGTTGTTGTTGTAAGTAAATAATTCAATTCTTAATAATGAAAAATGAAAAATCCAAGCTGATCTGGATCTATTTTTTTTTCTTCTGGATCTCACTCTCTGTGTGTGGTGTTGCTTGTTTGCAAAGATTTACGTCGGTTTTTTTTTGTTTATATCTTGACAGATTTGCTGTTGTTCTACTTATTCGAACGAATCGATTGTTTGTTAGTTTGTTTGTTTGTTTATTTTCCGGTTTTTTTTCTCGTTCTTATCCACAGAATAAAATAATAACCGACAACAACAACAACAGGCAAACACTTTGATGGTGAATCAATTTTTTTTTGAAAAAAAAATTTTTCATTTCATGTAACCGTCATCAACGGAAATTTTTTTTTTAAAGAAAATGAAATTTAATTAAGTTAAAAAAGGTAAAATTTTCTATCCTCTGCTGTCGTCGTCGTCGTCGTCGATCAACCTAAATCTGTCAAAAGTCTAATGTGTTGCACAATATCTGAAAAAAAAATTTTTTGGGGAGGAGGAGGAGGATAACCAATTTACTCGAAACAAAAAAAAAAAACAATTCATTCACGATATATTGAATGAAATATCGATTGATCATCATCATCATCATCATCATCATCATTCATTTTAAAATCGTAAATCATCAATTGTTTTGAAAAACGGACATGGACAATAAGATTTAGCAACAACGACAATTGAAATGATGATTATGATGATGATGATGATGATGACACATTGCCTGTGAACAAGAAACAACAACAACAACAACAAAAAAATTGTCAAATCAACCAACAACAACAACAACAACGAAATCAAAATAAAATTTTTTTTTTGTTTCCATTTGAAATTGAAATAATTCATTTAAATGTGCACCGCGACATCTAGTATCGATGATATAAATTAGTGGTCACAATCAATTGTAAGAAACAGAAGAAAATCAAAACAGCACATGTTGTGATTAGTTCAAATCTAAGGCTACGGTCACACTAGCACAGTCTTTTACGACTAAAGAGACAAACGAGACTAAAAATGCATTGTGAAAGTAGAAAAAAAAAGTTGGATATATATGGAATGTATTCAAACTTAAACATTTCATTTTAACATACCTAGTTTTTTGAGATCAAATGGCTGTACCTTTTTGGCTGTACCTCTTGTATGTAAAATGTGATATTGAATATCCAATATTCATATAATTTTTTAACATTCTGATTAAGCATTTTAGGTGCACAAAATGTGCTTAAGCGTTCAAATGTAACATGGAATATTACATATGAATTCAAATGTCTGTTATTCAAAAAAAAAAAAAAAAAAAAAAATAGAAAAAAAAATTATATTTTGTTCAAATATTTTGTATTGAAACATCATACTTGTGGAAAAATCTTCTTTAATTTTGAATTGATCTAAATGATTTGTAGCAACACAAATTCTATAAGAAAAAAATGATAATAATAATAATCATGAGGAGAATAATTTTCAAAATATTATGCTTACTTGCAAATGAAATATTGGTTGAAATATTGGCTTAAATCGGATAATACGATGCGAATTTTGTTTTGAAAACTATAATCAGACAAATTTTCTCGTTTATCTTCAAGAATATTTTTGGATAAGTGAGTTTAGTGAGTAATTACATGTGTTTTCAATAATTTCTCAATGCCGTTGTATTGAATTTTCGGTTCCTGCTTGAGGGGCTTTAAGAAATTCATTTCAGAATTTTGTCAATTCATTCCATAACTTCATCAGGAGCTTGAATAAACCACCATCACGCATGCTTTCTATCAGCCGATCGATTAAACTCTGTGGTAATTCAGCCCATAACTTCATCAGGAGCTTGAATAAACCACCATCACGAGTTGATGGATGAAGCTTTGTCTGCTTCAATAGGCGCTTCAACGAGTACCATAGGTGTTTGATTTGGTTCATATCTGGGCTTTGAGCAATTCATTTCAAATTTTTTGATCATCGACTTTTTTTTAATAAAGTCCTGAGACTGTTTGGACATATGGTATGGTGCCCAATCTTCCTGGAGAAGAAGGTTCTTTTTTTAATTTATTTTTTTCTATCACGGAAGATGGGAGATAGTGTGGTTTTCAGAATATTGATATATTCACACTATTGGAGCATAGTCAACACTGATCATCATCATGCCTATTTTCAAGGAATAATGATTATTAAAACATGCTAAAAAAAAAAAAAAAAATCTTACCATATAGCCCCCACCAAACCATCACACTGAAACCGTTATGCTTAACCGTGGCTTATAGTCTTGGCGTGGTATGCCTGATTCTTCTTGCGATATACGAATGTGCGATAAGCATCGTTAAACTGAGAAAATCGACATTCGTCGGAAAAAATTACTTTTTTCCAATAATCAAGTGGCATTTCAGCCATTTTTATGGCCCAAAAACGACTATTATTTTTATTTTTCTTGGATAAAATTGGCTTTTTTCTTGATTTTCTGTAGCCATATTCGGTCATCTTGATGTATTTCTGTACCGTATTTTTTTCGTCACATCAATATGATTCGCCAATTTTTTGCCTGTTGTTACCGGTGTTTTTTTTTCGATTTCGTTTCCAAACACTTTTAACAACATTATAGAAACAAAACATTCTCAAAATTGAAAACCGAATAAATTCACCATTCATATATTTGATATAAAAGATTTGTAGTCTTGATTTGACTTACAAAATTCTATTATCGATTATCGATACCATATCGTAAGTGATTAAAAACAATGCTATCCAAAAAAGAAAAAAAAATTTACTCAGCATTAAAAGCACACATTGTTACTCGAATGAATGAAATGTAGAACGGAAAACGTATTTGATATACGTGACTTTATTTAGTTCGAGATTCCATTCAAATATGTCGTATTTTTCATCATTAAAAATACACAAAAATACAAAAACAAATACAAAAAAATACAAATGAATCAAATAGAGTTTTTTTTGCTACATGAAACTAGCAATGCTAAATTCGAAAAGGCAATAGTTCGAAATTCGAGCAGCTACATTTTTTTTTTTTGATTTGACAAAATTAGTCGTCTTAATGTTCGTTCTGATTGTATCAAAAAGATTGTGTGTTGGTGGAAGAAATTATTGATGATGTCGAAAAATTTTGGACAATGGAATGTAATGTGTGTGTATGTTTCAGGTTCGGATTCAAATCTTTGACATAATTCTTCAGTATTTGCCATCGTATTACAGAAACTGAAAAAATATTATATTGTAGTATCTTCATTAACTCCGTTTATTCGACTGAACCGGAAAACACGTTTTCACTAAACTCATCTGTTTAGATTGGAGTTCATCATAGATGACGTTACCACGCCACCACAATATATTCAAATTGAAGGATGGATTCCGAAAAACGAAATGGCAAAAGAAGATGATTTTGCAATGTCTGCAAGAATCAAATTCAAATTGTGATTCGCGCATGGAATATATTTCGTTTTGGGATTCTTCTGCAGAATCAATGCTTGAACCCCTTTATAAAAGCTTCGCATATTAGCACCGTTATCATAACCCTGTCCACGACAGTTCGATAATTCTAATCCTTCTCGTGCTAATATTTTTTCAACTTTTGTGGCGAGTCTTTTACCTTGGCATTGATTGAGTACCTTAGAATGGCATTGTCGAAGGTATTGAGCATTCGTTTAGTTTTGTAATTGATTTGAGGCAAGAAGTTAAATGAGTAATAGTATTGAAAAATTGTTTGATAACATTTTTCTGTTTCCATTTTGGCGATAAGTTTTGATGATGTGTTCAAATTGCTTGTTTTTACTTTTTCTGCATATTTTAAGCCCGTTTTTTTTTCGTAATACTGGATCAACCATCTTTCGCAATACCGTTTTTTTCGAGTTGTTTGTTGTTTAAGTTTAATTTTTTTTTTCTTAATTTAAAAATTGAAATGTTGAACAATGCACAATTGAGTAATTGTATATAAAACAACGATAAAATATGGAACACAACAACTGGTTAACATGCCAATTACTTACTGGTAGGTAGGTACTGCTTACGTCCATTGAATAATTGTAGCATAAGTGAAACAATTCACACACACACACACACATTCACGTTATTTTGATGGCATATTCAAATATATTATTATTGTAAATGTATATAATAAAAAAGGAACACAGCAATTGCTCATTTCTCATCATTATCTGTCGAAATAGGAATTGGTTACAATAGGCAAGAATATTATTACCACACAATCTTTTTTTTTGAATTTAATAAAATTCTTTATTAAATATATAAAAAACACAGACACACACCCACACACACACACACACCCACTTGGATTATTATTCAATTCATAATGTTTTTTTTTATCAGTCTGTTTTTTTTTTTTAATTTGTAAGTCTGTGTGTGTGTGTGTGTGTGTGTGTGTGTGTGGTGATCACCAGGTTTATTCACACAATATTTCACCAGGTTGATATTTGTTTGAATGGATATAAACACAAGAAATGTGATCAAAAATTTTTAAAAATAATTTTGTTTAGTTTAAGATTTAGATTTCTTTAAAAATTGATTAATAATAATAAAATACAACGGTAAAAATATATAGAGGAAAGAATTTTTTGTTTTCTGTTTTGTTTTTTTAATTTTCCTATGTGTGATGGACATTTTTTTTGCTGTTGTTGTTGTTGTTTTATTTACTGGATTGAAAAAAAAAATTTATCCCCGGTTACAAATGATGGTGGTGATGAAGGATTTTTTTTTGAACGAAATCAAGAAGTGTGTGTGTGTGTGAGAGAGAGAGAAAAAAGGTGAGAAAAAAAAGAGTAAGAGATCGATCACAGATTCTGTAGAGCTTGTTCTATATTCCAATTGAATTGTGATAACGCACATATTGCCCGTTCTTCATCAATATGGCTTAGTTCACGTAAACGTTTTATTTTTGCTACCATAAGAAAACAAAACAAAAAAAATTTTATTATTAGGACGATCATTGATTTTAGCATAAAAATTTTTATTATTCACTACCTTCATATGATTCAAATTGTTTACGTTTTTCTGCCGATCTATCAGTGGCAAAATAATATGTCCAAAATTTTGCCGTTTGACGATAAAAATCTGGATGATCTTTAAATTGTCGTGCGACTACTGCATCTTGTGGATCATCTGGTTCAGGAGCTGTAATAATACAATGAAAAAAAAAAATTGTAAAACAACAAAAAACAACAACCGCAACCCAAAACACACATACATGTTAATAAGGCTTGAATGCTAAGCAATACGGTACGTAATGTCATTGCAGCCGCCCATTGATCTTTTAGAATGTCTAAACAAATGGCTCCAGTAACGGAAGCTGATTGAAAATTTTAATAATTAGCTTTTGTTGTTGTTGTTGTGTTTTTTTTCTGATACAACTTACATATATTTGGATGCCAAATTTTTGTCGTAAAACGTACTTTTGGTGGATTAAATGGATACGTTTCTGGAACTTTATAATAAAGAATGAGTGATGAAAAAAAAAAAAAAACATAATATACATTTGACACATACTTTTGATTTCAACTTTAAAACGGCCACCTTCAAATAATGATTCTGATGGTCCAATAACATAACCGGTAAGATTCAGTAAATTATTATCCACTGGTTCAATATGGAATAATTTATTTGGTTCATTCTCTGTTTGTGGTAATTCCATAAATTCACGTTTAATACGTTTGGCAGCAATGTTTGCCATATTTTTTTATTTTTATTATTATTATTTAATCAAAAAAAATATATCTATTTCAAAGTTCGTTACACCTAAATAATGTATAATAATTTTGTTGCTAAATCAGATTAAAAACAAACAAACAAACAAACAGCCGAAATAAGAAATTAATAATAATCTGATGATGAATTCGAATGTACAGTGCATATATATAGATGTTTTTGTGGTAACACTAGAAGGTAAAAATAAAATTCGATTATTTTCAATGAAAAAACAATGGAAAAAAAATTGATTAAAATCAATCATAAACATACCCATCAGGAGGTAATGAATAAAAAAAAATTATAAATCAATCACATCTGATTGATTGATTTGATGAATGTTGTTGTTGTGACACACAAACACAGACGATGGAGAGAGAGAACACACACAGTTTTACAGTTTCATTTTCATGTTGTTGTTGTTGTTGTGAGAAAAAAAAAGAAACCAGGAAAGAAAAAAAAATGGCCAATCAATCAATCAATAAATTGATGATAATGATGATTTGATGTGATAAAAAAAATTTTCTTCTTTCTTTCTTTCTTTCCAATTGTCGAATGTAAATGCGTACAATAATTATCTGATTTTTTTTTCTGTCTCTATTTATTTTTCTTTCAAGTAATGATGATAATAATTAAAAATTCTTGAAAATGAAAAAAAAATATATCGAATCAAATTAAAAAAACACACACACACACACAGCAAGACAGACAACATCACAACAACAACAACAACAACATCATCATCATGATCGATATTAATGTGTTTATCATTGTAGTAGTAGTTAATAAATGTGTAGTTATTATTAAAATAGCAGTAGTATTGATTATAGCTATATATCAAAAAAAAAATGAATACGTCCTTCATTAATGGATCATTGAAAATCAACGAATGAAAAAAAAAAAAAATAGAAGCAAAGCTAATATATAGAATATTAGTGTTTTAAACACCGCCTTTATATTGTGAATATTTATTGACCACTATGATGAAATGATGGTGAATATTCTATATTCATGTTCACCATTATATGATCACTACTACTACTATTTTTTTTTTGGCTTTTGCTGCTAGTTTGAATTGCAGACTAACTTTTTTTTTTTTTCGTTTACCTGCCGCGCTCGTTGTTCGGTGAGTAATAAACCATAAGAGATGATGAATACCTTGCTTGATTTTAGGGGGCTCTCACCTTTGTGTTTGTGTGTGTGTGTGTGTGTGTGTGTGTGTGACAACAAAGATCGTTAGAATAATAATGATGATGATGAATAATTCTAGTTTATATTTTTTCGTTCTTTTCTTTTTATTTTATAAAGACTGTAAATGTGATTAGTCACTATTATATCAGCACCTTATATTGACCAGTGCCACCATTTTTTTTTCTATTTTTATATATGAGTTATGTTACACAACTTTGAATCTTTCCCATCATCATCATCATCTAATTTTGTAAAAAAAAAGACAATGCAAACCTGAATTCTCTCTAATTATCGTGTTTAACTTCAGTGCCATCATTTTTCTCCCCTCTGTCTTTGTATGTTTCTGTCTGTGTTTTGATGAACCCAAGGATATCACCCATTATTCGAGCTATCGTCATTGTCGAATGACAATTTTTTTGTCATCATCATCATTCACCTTTACATTCAGCCACATCACCTCTCGAATATAATGACCAATCTCTAGTGAACTAAAAAAAAAAAATCTTTCGGTTCAAACCAGATCCTCTCACTCCCCAGGCCAAAAAAAAAACAAAAATTGCTAAATTATCCGTATTGCACACATGTGAAAATTTCAATGTCCACAAATGTAATTCAGTCAACCAGAAAACAGAAACAAAGTTTAGAATGTTAATAACGTAAGTAAAATCAAATAACAAAATTTGATATTCAAATGCAAAACAAAACAAAAAAAATTTATAATCATCATGCATATATGGATGACCGTTGAAATAAAAAATGACTCTTCAATTTTTCTGTGTCTTTTGCATGATTTTTTTTTGGTGAGAGCTATATAAATATGATGATGACCTTACCTTTTTTTTGTTGATAATCTTGTGTCCTTAAATATTTGATCCAACTAAGAAAAAACAACAACAACGACAACATTCGAATCAGATCCGGTTCAGAAATTCAAATTTGATGGTCAAGTGTCATTCAATTAATTCCTTGTCAAACAAAAATTTGATTTTTTGTTTTTCTTGTATTTAATTTTGTGGGTTTGTTTGTTATCGGTAATTTTGTTGGCCATAATAAACAATTACAATTGTGTAGGTTGTGTACCTGTATTCGTTGAAATTAGATTTTTGAATTATAATTATCATCATCAAATGGAGTGGTTAAAATAAACAACAACAACCACAACAACAAACCTGACAATCAAAGACCAATGTACTTAATGTTGAGTTTTATATACTCATCATCATCAATTCAGCATTTTTTTTTTTTTTTTTTTTTTGAACCTGATGATATCATCCATTGACATTGTGTCAAACAAATGAAAAAAAAAGATCCAATCATCAACCAAACCAACACATTAACTATTTTAGATTTGATTTGGTTTTATTTTTCATTTGGCTTCGTTTTGTTTGTTTTGCTACATTTTATATGAAAGACCTGGCGGAAGTTATTCCTTACCAGACTTTTTAACAGCTAGATCGAGGGTTGAGAATTGATAATACTCACTATTTCGGCCACTAGAGTCGCGTTTTATTCCAAAAATCACACATATATATTAAAAATCATTATTAAAATTAAATGGTTTAGACGGTAATATTTTCTATAAATTCCAAACATTTAAACAACGGCGAACCATCCCAATTTAGTTATCTGGTTTATATGCAAAATTAATAAACACAAACAAAATAAAGCAAAGAAATAATCAATTAACATTCTTTAAAATTCACACACAAATATCATAAAAATAAGCTAAAACACTTCTTATTGACATTAACTAGATAGATAGATGCCATTTTTAGATTTGATTTGGTTTTTTTATTTTTTTCATTTTGGCTTCGTTTTTGTTTTGTTTTTTTTTTTTTACACACACATATATATAGAATAGATCTATTTTGTATTGTGTTCAGATGATGATGATGATGATGTTGAAATAGATAAATCAAAATCAAATCACGTTTGTTGTTATTTTCTGTTCTGTTCTGTTCTGTTTTTTTTTTATTTTATTTTTATCTCATTTGATTTATTCGTCTATATCTTTTTTGTTTTGTTTTTGTTGTTGTTGTTGTTGTAATTTTGATCACACAATGGTTTTGAATTTTTCATTTCAATTTCAATTTTAATTCTTAAAATTAACCGTTATATATTGTCTTTTTGTTGTTTTTTGTTTTTTGGGCGCTAAACTTGTTGATTTGTTTGTCAGCCACACAGCAACAGCAACAGGTAATACAACATAGCAACAACAACAACAACAACAAAAACATTCAATGAGCAAAAAAAAAGATTTGAAATCTGAATTTATTCGTTTTAGTATTTGATCAAACGATTGTTTTTTTTCTTCCATCGTCATCATCATCATCATCATCATCATCATCATCATTGTAAATTGGATGGCCACTTTTTTTTCTGGCTGACCACCACTCATTTGTTTGTTTGTTTTTTATTTTATTGATATTTTCAATTTATTTCTTGAGCTATTTCAATTTACTTTTGGCCATTTTTGCTTTGTTTTGTTCATTTCAATATATGATGAATGAATCCATCTTTATTTTTTTGCATCTGCCATTTAGTTATTTCACTAATCGTTTTCAATGTTCATCACCTGATTGAAATGTTGTTTTTTTCTTCTTCACCATCATCATCATCATCACAGCATGTGTGGTGGCCCATTAATAATGTGTTCTGTCCATTCTCTTTCAATTTTTTTTCTCTTTTTATTTTTTTTCGAACATCTCAAATCTTATCCTGTTCATGTTTTTTTTTGTATGGGCCATTATCTTTTGGAACATCTAAATATGAATGATGGTGATGGTCGATGATGGTGGTGGTGGTGGTGGAACAATTTCCTCTTCAATGTGTTTCGTATACGTGTTTGTCTTTGTGAATGGCGATGAGCTTTTTTTTTTTGGCTTGAAAAAATATTTATTTTGAACACTCACTTGTTGCTGTTTTTGTTATTGGAACCTGTTGCAATTCATTCCATCATCACCATCACCATTTCCTAGTTTTTTTTTCTTCCAAAACAATAAGTCATCATCATCAAGTCATCAAGTTAAAAAAATTTCTGAATTTTTGAAATCAAAATTGAATTAATATACACATCTACTGGAGAATGGACTGTTTTTTTTCGCAGATATCGGTAACAATCAGATGAATGAATGAATGAATGAAACTAAAAGTCGATAATAATGGCCACTCGTTTCGGTCAATCGTGTGTGAATTTTCGTTTGAATTGTTTTCAATCTATCATCCATTCAATAAAATGATATGTATATATATCTAATGTATTGTTGTTTTGTTCATTTTTTTTTCTTCTCCTGTAGAATCAACATCATCATCATCAACTACTTGGTCTACTACTGGTTGATAGCAAACAATTTTCGATAAAGATTGATAATTTGTGAATGATTGTGTCACATATATATGGTCAGTAGTTGTGTGTGTTTCATAATTGGTTGACAGACGATTTTACACACACAAAATTTTTTGTTCAACAAAATTTTCATGATCAAAACAAAAATGTCTGTCCGTATTATAATCAAAATATTTTTAACATTACAATTATTATTGCTCATTTTTCGTCAAATGATTGATTTTGCCGGCATACAATGGCTAATGATATTGGTGAATGCATTGGCTATTATAATAACAATAACTGGATTTTTTGGCCATCTACTAATATATGCATCATTTCAAATATTTTTGATTATCTATAATATCTATGTGATTTGTGTTTATGCACGTTTTATAACATTGGATACAATAACCGATACATTCGGTACTGGTGATATGTCATCATTATCATTATCATCAGCAACAACGACAACAAATCTATATAAATCAATTATCGATGATCATCAATCAAACTATCCAATTGTACATACATCACCATTATTACCATCAACACAATTATTATCATTTGATATAAATTCTCGTTCATTTTGGTATATAATTGTTTCCAATCATATATCAAATATTCAGGCACATTTAAATCATTATAATCAACAACAACAACAACAAAATTATAAACAACCACAATCTTCACCTATAATTAAACATTTATTATCATCGACAACTGAAAATCAAATTCCATCAACGACGACGACTACGACGACAACAACGAATCATCATCATCATCATCATCATCGTCATCCATTAGATGAATCATTAGTTGATCTATGTGTTCAATATATTGAAATTGCCATTGCTTCTTTACATATTTTCATTTCAATTTTAGCAATTGGATTAATTTTATTGAAATATAAACTTGAAAGGGATAAATTTTTACGTAATAATGATAAAAGTAAGTGATTTGATATTGATTTAAAATCGATTTATGATTTTCTCTTTTTCATTTCATTTCATCACATTTCAGCTACACCTCCATTGCCACCATATACCATTAAGTAAGTACAATACAATTATATAGATTATTAATTATTTCTTTGCTAATTCAACCCTTTTTTTTTTCTCTCTCTCTCTCTCTCTCTCTCTCATTAATTATAGTCCACAAATGAATCATTATATGAGCTTTACACCAACAACAATAACTACAACAAAAAGTTCATTATATAATCAGAAAACAAATTCAGTACGACGATCATCAAAACGTCGCCGTAGTACACGTAGTCTTCATACACAAAAATCTAAATCCAATTCATTAGGTGCATTGAACAATATACGTGCCAATAGTAGTGGATCATTACGTTCAACAATATCTAAACATGGCCATCATCGTAAAAGTGCAACATCATTATTGATGATGAACAATAATAATAATAATGTTGCCGATGCATCATTCATTTCATCTAATAATACTACAATTGGTTCACGTTCAGGTGCCAAAAGTTCACATTCAAATTATGGCCAAATTATCAACAATAATAATAATAATAATAATAATGGACTTTATGGTACAATTATTAGTACACCGGTCAATAAACCTACTGTACCATTACGTAATCAACAACGTCAACATCAAAATCTACAAAACCAACAACAATATTCCTATCGACATTCAATCTATGGTGGTGGTTGTGGTGGTGGTGGTCAACAAAATAGTATTAGTAGTGTTGGCCAATCAAATTATGGTCCAAAATTTGTTACATCCGATTCTGAAACTGATAATTATTATCATACATTCACACCGGCCTATCTAAATAATGGTCTTGCTAATCCATTGTATGGTAAACGTAATTCATATATGGATTCATCCGAAACTGCCATCTAATATATTTATTTGATAGTGTGAATGTTTTTTTTTTGCCCACTTACCATAAAAAAAATTGACTTCAAATCAATCAATTCTTTTTTAAAAAAATCGATCTCAAACACTATTCTTTGTACATAGAATTAATTTATTTTTTTCTACTTTTTTTTTACACACATTCTTTTCCTTGTACTGACATCTATCGTCATTGAAATGGAAACTTGAAAAAATTTAAAATTTTTTATTATCAAACAAAATATTTTCAGAAAATTGAATAAAAATTTTTTATTTTTAATTAATTTCATCATGTGTGTGTGTGTGTGTGTGTGTGTATCAATTTTCTTTAGAAAAATGTTTGGTCATAAATTGAAGTTCATCGATAATGTTTCCATTGATTTGAAATAGATGATAACCAATGTAGAGAAGAAATATAAAATCGAAAAAAAGAATTAGAATGGATGACCATAAAATAGTTTGAAGCACCATTGATTTGAATAGCCAATATAATAATGAATGAATGATTAAAATGGATATTGTATAAATGATTTCTATACGATTATAACGACGTTTAGCCATATTTAATGTTGAATCTGGATCATTGACCAAATAACGACGACAGCCAAGAACAAAATTATAAAAATATGTTTCCCATTCAATTGAATTTACATTCGTATTGAATAATAATCGTTCATTTTCTGGTAATAATCCATTCATATATTGAATGTTATGATTATGAAATAACCATCCATTACAAGTGAATGGCTTCAATAAATATATACCTTTGTGTACACGATCCATTAGTTTCACCATAAATCTTTTTTGCATCATTATTACACATATCAGATCGAATAAATATGCGAATAGATAATGTGAAAATATCATTATCAGATTCAATTGTAGCCGATCCAATAATGTTCGTGATGGATTTACATATACTGAAACCGGTCGTATAGTTTTCATTGATGGTGTAACATTTTTCATTCGATCAGTTTCATTGACTAATTTTCCCCATGTAATTGAGTTATCACCCAATGTAATGTTGACAACTTTTTTATCATCTTTATAAAAATTGGAAGCACGAAAAGCACCCGAACAAATCATTGCATTTACAACAATATCAACAGGAATAATGTCGGCTTTAGCATTAAGATCCATAATCACTAATCGTGATATGCCTAAACCATTACAAAGAACGGAGCCAGCAACACCAGCTGTTGAATCACACCATCCTGGTATTGGTTCTTTAATCGAACTATTCACTATCGATGGTCTACAAATGATTATCGGTAAGGATGAATATCGTTTTTCAATCATCCATTCAGCTATTGATTTGGAGAGTGTATATGGATTCGGTCGATTCTTCAATGCTTCATCACCAATTTTGAGGCTGATGTCACCATAATTTATTCTCAAATCATTTAAATATGATTCAAAATCTTGATCAGTATCGATTGGGTAGATTTTCTCTTCAATCTCTTTAAGATGGCAATTACAATAAGCAGTTGATACATAGACAATTGATTTCAAATTCAACATTTCACTACATAACTTTAAAATAGCATCAGTACCATCGATATTTTGTTCGATAAATTTTTTCGTAATGCCATCAAAATTAACTGTCGCAGCTGAATGGAATACAACATCAACTTCATTGATTAATTTTTTGCGATCTTCAACGGATATACCTAATCCATTAGCGGTAATATCACCATTGATGGCAAAAATTTTATCAATTTTATCTTGATGCAATTCAAACACTGGTGATGTTGACAATAGATTTGAAAGTCTTTTTTGTGATGTTTCAAAACATTTATCACGAATCAATACATAGATACGTTTGCAGGAACATTGTCGTAGGATTTTTTCCAACAAAACTTTACCAACAAATCCAGTGACACCAGTTATGAAAATGGTTTTATCGTGATAAAATTCCAATACAGAAAATTCAGATATGGTAGTCATTTTATTTTTTTTTATTAAGAAATTCACATACAATCGATCAATCAATCACGAGAAAAATGACCAAATGTTGAAATCAGCCATGGTTTTTATAGTCACTCATCATTTCATTTGTTTCTTTGAAATCAACATGGATAAGCGCCGTACTTGCAAAAACATTTATCAATGCGATTAACGCATGTACATTTTTTTTTATTTTAAAACATTGTTACAACAACGGCAATGAAATTGATTCCAAAATTAATAACCACTTAATATATATCTATCCCTCTTCTTCACACTGATATTAATCCGAAATGAAGATGAGGGATACAAATGAAAAATAAATGAAGAAATGAAATCATCATGTTTGAAATATTATTTGATTTCATCAACGATAATCAATAATTTATTTATTGGTCATTTCAATACATGAAATTATCATCATCATGATTTCCAGTGCAAAAAAAAACTATGGTAGATTCTTTACGGTGATAATAATTTTTTCAATTTCAATTGTGCGTAGTTTTTTCCATATATCGCAAACAACAATTCAATATAAAAAGGAAACAAACAAACACGCACACGGAAAGGAAACTAGAGTACAGTGTAGATTAAAAATGTTTCTAAAGAATTTCACCAATTGATAATTGTAAAAAAAAAAAAAATTGTTTACAAAACAAATGAACATTGAACCAAACAATAAAATGATTGATATTCTTTTTTAGCCATGATTGACGTCAGAATATCATGGTATTCACGAATGAATTGAATGAATGATTAGATATTTTATATATTGAACACATCGATAATACGAAAAAAAAAAACTGTTTATGGATGAATAAATGAATATAAAAATTTGTATACACTCTTTGTGTAATAATAATAATAATTGAATTTAATTTGTTTATTTACAATAAAGTTGGTTTGATCATCATTTCATGTTCATTTTGTTCATTTTGTTTTGTTTTGTTTTGTTTCATTTGCCAAAAAGAAGAAGAAGAAGAATGGATTATTTACCATAGGGAAAAGTACCCTAAATGTCTGGATGTTATTTTTTTGTTTCCAAATACAGCAATTAATAATTTTCCTTATTATCCATTTCAATTCTTCAATCATTCAATTCGATACATTATTGCTATAAATTGATGGATAGATTTTTTCTATTTCATATTTATTTTTATTATTATTATTATTAAATATCGATTGATCAAATATTGATATGAATAAAGGAAATAATAATCATTTTTTTTCTCTCTCTCTCTCATCAATTGAGTTTTGATCATTTAATGACCTTCAGCCATTAAATGATTTCATTTTCAATTCATTGAAACATAATTTCATCAATGTTGATCGATATTCATCTGAATATTTAAGATAATTTGCACCATGTGATGATTGATTCCAAGATTTTATCATAGCAATAAGATCATTATTATGATGTTTTTCAAATGTTTTTTTCTTTGCATGATCATCATAATTGACCATTGGATCATATTTCGATATGAAAACCATTGATGGACAATCGATTGGATTAACATGTGTATCTGTTTTGATGATGCTAATCCAATATATTGGACCATCATTCATATAGACAGCTGAATCAATAATGACACCTGTTGACAAGAATTATAAACAACAACATTTTTATCATTATCATGGTTGTTATTTCAAATTTCAATTTCAAATACAAAATACACAATTAATTAATTTTTTTTACGTTTTTTATACACACATTCTTTCCCTTGTACTGTCATCTATGGTCATTGAATGAAAACTTGAAAAAATTTAAAATTTTTTCACATCAAAAATGTAAACGAAATTGATTTACGGAAAATTGAATAAAATTTTATTTTTAATTAATTTCATCATGTTTGTGTGTGTATCAATTTTTTTTGGAAAAATGTTTAGTCATAAATTTAAATTCATCGATAATGTTTCCATTGATTTGAAATAGATGATAACCAATGTAAAGAAGAAATAGAAAATCGAAAAAAAGAACAAGAATTGATGACCATAAAATAGTTTGAAGCACCAATGATTTGAATAGCCAATATAATAATGAATGAATGATTAAAATGAATATTGTATAAAGGATTTCTAAACGATTATAACGACGTTTAGCCATATTTAATGTTGAATCTGGATCTTTGACCAAATAACGACGACAGCCAAGAACAAAATCAAAAAAATATTTTTCCCATTCAATTGAATGAACATTCGTATTGAATAATAATCGTTCATTTTTTGGCAATAATCCATTCATATGTTGGATGTTATTATTATGAAATAACCATTCATTACAAGTGAATGGCTTCAATAAATATATACCTTTCTGAACACGATCCAATAGTTTCACCATAAATCTTTTCTGCATCATTATTACGCATATCAGATCGAATAAATATGCGAATAGATAATGCGAAAATATCATTCTCAAATTCAATTGTAGCCGATCCAATAATGTTCGTGATGGATTTACATATACTGAAACCGGTCGTATAGTTTTCATTGGTGGTACAACATTTTTTATTCGAATAGTTTCATAGAATAATTTTCCCCATGTAATGGAGTTATCACCCAATGTAATGTTGGCAACTTTTTTATCATCTGTATAAAATTTGGAAGCACGAAAAGCACCCGAACAAATCATTGCATTTACAACAATATCAACAGGAATAATATCGGCTTTAGCATTAAGATCCATAATCACTAATCGTGATATTCCTAAAGCACTACAAAGAACGACGCCAGCAACACCGGCTGTTGAATCACACCATCCTGGCATTGGTTCTTTAATCGAACTATTCACTATCGATGGTCTACAAATGATTATCGGTAATGATGAATATCGCTTTTCAATCATCCATTCAGCTATTGATTTGGAGAGTGTATATGGATTCGGTCGATTCTTCAATGCTTCATCGCCGATTTTGAGGCTGATGTCACCAAAATTTATTCTCAAATCATTTAAATATGATTCAAAATCTTGATCAGTATCGATTGGATAGATTTTCTCTTCAATCTCTTTAAGATGACAATTACAATAAGCAGTTGATACATAGACAATTGATTTCAAATTCAACATTTCACTACATAACTTTAAAATAGCATCAGTACCATCGATATTTTGTTCGATAAATTTTTTCGTAATGCCATCAAAATTAACTGTCGCAGCTGAATGGAATACAACATCAACTTCATTGATTAATTTTTTGCGATCTTCAACGGATATACCTAATCCATTAGCGGTAATATCACCATTGATGGCAAAAATTTTATCAATTTTATCTTGATGCAATTCAAACACTGGCGATGTTGACAATAGATTTGAGAGTCTTTTTTGTGATGTTTCAAAACATTTATCACGAATCAATACATAGATACGTTTGCAGGAACATTGTCGTAGAATTTTTTCCAACAAAACTTTACCAACAAATCCAGTGACACCGGTTATGAAAATGGTTTTATCATGATAAAATTTCAATACAGAAAATTCAGATGTGGGAGTCATTTTTTTATTGATGAAAATGAATTTACATAGAATCAATCAATCACGAGAATAATGAACAAATGTTAAAATCGACCAGGGTTTTTATAATCCCTGATCATTTCATTTGTTTGTTTGAAATCAATTTGGATAAGCGCCGTACATATGAAAGCATGTACAGTTTTTATTTATTTATCAAACGTTGTAACAGCAACGTCAATGAAATTGATTCCAAAATTAATAACCACTTGATAGGCAATCTATCCCTCTTTTTTCACACTGATATTAATCTAAATGAAGATGAGGGATACAAATGAAAAATAAGTGAAGAAATGAAACCATCATGTTTGAAATTATTTGATTTCATCTACGATAATCAATAATTTATTGGTCATTTCAATACTTGAAATTATCATCATGATTTCCTGTGCAAAAAAAACTGTTGTAAAATTCTTCATATTTTCCCAAATGATAATAATTTTTTCAGTTCAATATGTTTTTCCATTTATCGCAAACACAACAATGTAATGAAAGGAAACAAACAAACACGCACACAGAAAGGAAACTAGAGTACAGTATAGATTAAAAGATTTTGGTAGTTACGTTGTTTGATTATAATTGTGAAATGTTTACAAAACAAATGAACATTGAACCAAACAAAATGATTGAGAGATATATATAATCATATTCTTTTTTAGCCATGATTGACGTCAGAATATCGTGGTATTCCCGAATGAATGATCAGATTTATATTGAAGTTTCAGTTTTTTTTCTGTAAAATTGTTCTTCACATCTCCATTTATTACCATTCTATATCTTATTTCAATCTTAATCATAAAAATTGACATCAAATCAATCAATTCTTCTTTTTTAAAACGATCTCTCTCGATATTTTTTTTACACACATTTTTTTCCTTGTACTGATATCTTTGGTCATTGAATGAAAAGTTGAAAAATTTTTTCACATGAAAATGTAAACGAAATTGATTTACGGAAAATTGAATAAAATTTTATTTTTAATTAATTTCATCATGTTTGTGTGTGTATCAATTTTTTTTGGAAAAATGTTTAGTCATAAATTTAAATTCATCGATAATGTTTCCATTGATTTGAAATAGATGATAACCAATGTAGAGAAGAAATATAAAATCGAAAAAAAGAACAAGAATGGATGACCATAAAATAGTTTGAAGCACCAATGATTTGAATAGCCAATATAATAATGAATGAATGATTAAAATAAATATTGTATAAATGATTTCTATTCGATTATAACGACGTTTAGCCATATTTAATGTTGAATCTGGATCTTTGACCAAATAACGACGACAGCCAAGAACAAAATCAAAAAAATATTTTTCCCATTCAATTGAATTTACATTCGTATTGAACAATAATCGTTCATTTTCTGGTAATAATCCATTCATATATTGAATGTTATGATTATGAAATAACCATCCATTACAAGTGAATGGCTTCAATAAATATATACCTTTGTGTACACGATTCATTAGTTTCACCACAAATCTTTTTTGCATCATTATTACGCATATCAGATCGAAAAAATATGCGAATAGATAATGCGAAAATATCATTCTCAAATTCAATTGTAGCCGATCCAATAATGTTCGTGATGGATTTACATATACTGAAATCGGCCGTATAGTTTTCATTGATTGTACAATATTTTTCATTTGATCAATTTCATTGACTAATTTTCCCCATGTAATTGAGTTATTACCCAATGTAATGTTGACAACTTTTTTATCATCTTTATAAAATTTTGAAGCACGAAAAGCACCCGAACAAATCACTGCATTTGAAACAATATCAACAGGAATAATATCGGCTTTAGCATTAAGATCCATAATTACTAATCGTGATATGCCTAAACCATAATAAAGAACAGAGCCAGCAACACCAGCTGTTGAATCACACCATCCTGGTATTGGTTCTTTAATCGAACTATTCACTATCGATGGTCTACAAATGATTATCGGTAATGATGAATATCGCTTTTCAATCATCCATTCAGCTATTGATTTGGAGAGTGTATATGGATTCGGTCGATTCTTCAATGCTTCATCACCAATTTTGAGGCTGATGTCACCATAATTTATTCTCAAATCATTTAAATATGATTCAAAATCTTGATCAGTATCGATTGGGTAGATTTTCTCTTCAATCTCTTTAAGATGGCAATTACAATAAGCAGTTGATACATAGACAATTGATTTCAAATTCAACATTTCACTACATAACTTTAAAATAGAATCAGTACCATCGATATTTTGTTCGATAAATTTTTTCGTAATGCCATCAAAATTAACTGTCGCAGCTGAATGGAATACAACATCAACTTCATTGATTAATTTTTTGCGATCTTCAACGGATATACCTAATCCATTAGCGGTAATATCACCATTGATGGCAAAAATTTTATCAATTTTATCTTGATGCAACTCAAACACTGGTGATGTCGACAATAGATTTGAGAGTCTTTTTTGTGATGTTTCAAAACATTTATCACGAATCAATACATAGATACGTTTGCAGGAACATTGTCGTAGGATTTTTTCCAACAAAACTTTACCAACAAATCCAGTGACACCAGTTATGAAAATGGTTTTATCGTGATAAAATTTCAATACAGAAAATTCAGATATGGTAGTCATTTTTTTATTGATGAAAATGAATTCACATAGAATCAATCAATTAATCACGAGAAAAATGACCAAATGTTGAAATCGACCATGGTTTTTATATATTTATACGCGTCGTATGTATGAACGCGTGTACATTTTTTTTTATTTAACAAACGTTGTCCCAACAACGGCAATGAAATTGATTCCAGAATTAATAATCACTTGATATCGTATTCTAACCCTTTTTACACATTAGATTAATCTAAATGAAGATGATGGATAAGATGAAAAAATAAGTGAAAAAATAAAACCATCATGTTTGAATCGACCAATAAATTATTGATTATCACAACTGTCAATTCTTGAAATTATAATCATAATTTCCAGTGCAAAAAATAAATAAACTGTGGTAGATTCTTCACAGTGATAATAATTTTTCAGTTCAATATGTACGTGTTTTTCCATATATCGCAAACAACAATTCAATATAAAAGGAAATAAACAAACACGCACAATGAAAGGAAACTAGAGTACAGTGTAGATTAAAATATTTCTAAAGAATTTCGTCAATTGATAATTGTAAAAAAAAAAAAAATTGTTTACAAAACAAATGAACATTGAACCAAACAACAAAATGATTGATATTCTTTTTTAGCCATGATTGACGTCTGAATATCATGGTATTCACGAATGAATGAATGATTAGATTTATATTGAACACATCGATAATAGAAAATTTGTATGCACTGCAGTGCATAATGGCGCAAATCCGATTCATTCCGTCGTCAATCAAATCAGTTTTCTTTCTGTTATCAAATCATTGTTACGTTCATCTATTGTTTTTCACACCTCTCCATATATTACCATTCTATATATCTTATTCCATTCTAAACAATAAATTATCAATTGATGGATAGATTTTTATTTATTTATTTATTATTAAATATCGATTGATCAAATATTGATTGGAATCAATGAAATAATCATTTTTTTTCTCTCATAAATTATTTAATTCATAATAATTAACTATCATCATCAATGACCTTCAAATGCATTAAATGATTTTACTTTTTAATTGATTAAAACATCATCATCATCATCATTAGACATTATTTGATCAAGAAATTTTATCAATGTTGATCGATATTCGTCGGATATTTAACATAATGTGCAACATGTGGTGATTGATCCCAAGATTTTATCATAGCAATAAGACCATTATTACGATGTTTTTCAAATGTTTTTATATGATCATCATAATTGACCATTGGATCATCTTTAGATATGAATGCCAATGATGGACAATCGATTGGATTAATGTGTATCTGTTTTGATGATTCTAAATAATGTCTAGTGGCCAATGGATAATTGATTATATAATATAATCGTATCAATACAATGATTACAATCTGTAATAATGTATTCGATGTTGTTGCTTTGGCCAATCCAATTGGACCTTCATTCACATCGACAGCTGAATCAATAATGACACCTGTTGACAAGAATTATAAACAACAACATTATTATTATCATCATTGCTGTTAATTAAAACACACACACATTACCTTTCATTCGTTGTTGAAATATATTTCGTACATCTTGATTAGATTGACCATTCAATAGTACTAAACATTCACCCATAACATAAACACCAACAGAAAATGCATGACTTATATATGTATCATATTGATCTTGATTCATACGCATAAATTGTATTAATTGTGCCATAATTTGTTGTGTACCAAATGGTGGAAATAATAATTGCATTAAACCAGTACGTATTGTCAATACATTGTAGCCAAGTTCAAGATATAATTTACGATATTTATTTAGATGACGATCCTGTGCAAATAGCCACGCAAAAATGATTACAATGGATTTGGATTTTTTCTTACCACCATTCAATTCATATGGACATAGTGAAAAATTTCTAGTTGGTAGATAATCTAAATGGATAAACTTAATAATAGAATTTGTTTTAGAATTTTAATTTTCAACAATTTCAATCATCATCATTTACTTTTAGCTGTGAATCACAATCATTTTGTTGTTGTTGATTATTATTATCGTCATTTTTCTGGCCATTCGTTTTACTTTTTTTTTGATTTAGTTTGAATGAAAAAAAAATTTTAAATCAAAAGAATAAAAACAATGGCGTTACCTGTTGTTGCTTACCTCAACAATCGTATGATAACAAATCCAATTATAAATGTTACTACCAACAAAGTGGCCATCATGTTTGTTAATGTATATATGTATGGTGAAATGATTTGCAAAAAAAAAAAAAAAAATTCAGATGACAATTTTGTTCACTAATCTAATGTGTTTTTGTAATGTTGCTAAATTTGTCACACGAATATTTGAGATTGTCAAGTTTCTTCTTTTAGTTTGTCATTCGATCATCATCATCAACCACTATATATTGATATAATACTATAATGATGAACAACATTGTATAAACCGCGTCAACATCGTCAATGAACAACATAAAACAACAACAACAACAACAACAACAACAACAACAACGTATCAATGAAAAAAAAAATTCAAAATGAACATTGAAAATGATCAGTTCTTTTTTTTTTTTATTTTGTTCTTCGTTACTTCGATACATTCGATACTCTTCACCATTATCATCATCATCATCATCATCATCATGAAAGTATAATTATTTTCAATGTATGCTCGTTGAATCATTATTTATTTTGAATGTTGAATAAAAAAAAACATACACACGCACACATACACAGAACAGAAGTATATAATATCCTTGATGGTCAAATAAACAAAACAAAACAAAAAAACAGTGATTATATTGTCCATCGTCATCATCACAATCATCTTTTTTTCCCTTTCTTTTATTTTCCATTGAAATCATTGAATTTATTCGTTTAAATGAAAATGAACGAACAACGAATGGATGGATGGATGGAGGGAAACGAATTTAAATTTTCCAATTTTTTTGTTTTTTTTTGTTCAACAAACTAAAAGAAATTATACAACGTTGAATGATGTAACGTCATCATCATCGTCATCATAGTAATTCTTTATAAATGTGTTGATGATTGACGCTTTTGAATTTCAAATTTTGTTCAATTCAATTATTGATTATTGATGACGGAAATCCTGAATGTTCATATATGTTCATACAGTGGGTACTCGCGACTTGCGAATAAAATTTTAAAAAATTTTTCAAATCTGAAATTCAGAATTTTTCCTGAAAAAAGAATGTGAAATCAACCCCAATGAGGATTTCTGATCAACAAAAAAATGGAAAAAATTAGGGAAAAATAAAAATTTTATTGAGAAAAAGAGATTGACGATTCAACAGAAAAAAAAAGGTATAAAGGTTGACAGTATTATTTATCTACAACGAAAAAAAAAATTTTCATGATTCTATCATATGTGTCTGATTTTTTTTCCTGATTTCGTGATCGGTTATTGTTTCATTTTTTTTTTTTTATTCACGTTTGATTGGTATTTCACGATTTTCTTTCGGTGCTTCCAATGCCGGTAATGGTGCTTCAATCACTAAACGACCATCGGTTTTAAGTAATGATCGTACACGATCCAAATCAACATCATCAGGCAATGAATATGAATAGTTTATTTGTTTGAATTGTTTACTAGATCCATCTGTGATTTCACATTTAGCATCGATTTTCACTTCACCTTTTTCACTGTAACATTTACATTTTCTGGTTTAAAATCAGGTAAATCAATTTCGATTTTAAACATTCGTTGACCATCTTCAATGGTTTCCATTGGTAGAGCACGACTCAATGGTGTTCGAAGCTGATTCATTGTCGGAAAAAATGATCGTTCCATTTCACGAAAAAATGAATCAAATGATCGTTGAATGTCTGTGAATATAAATCATTATCAAATTAGTAATCTCATATATCGAATTGAAATCAAGATTCAAACTTACCAGCAAAAGGATCATATCCACGTCTTGATGGAAGGAAGTTACGTTTAATGAAAACATTTGGCATCAACAAACGTCGAGTGAACAAATTTCGACTAATCGGTACCAATTGACGAATCATTTGAGATGACATTTTTGTTTCTGTTTTCGATATTTGAAATTTTTTGCTGAAAATTTTTCTTTTACGGTTATAATAAATGCTGCGTATTTGATGAAATTTTTTGTTGTCCGCAGGATAGCGCCAATAGTTGTGAAAATTTTTTGATTTGAATAAAATAAAATATTTTACGGTTATAATAAATGCTGCGTATATACGCGTGATGAAATTAACTTTGACAATGATGAAATTCTATACAATTGTTGTCCGCATTATATACCCAATACGGATAGCGCCAATAGTTGTCGACAGATGTCTCTGGAAATTTCGGGAAAATTCTATAATTCTGTAGAAATTTCTGGAAAAAATTACCAAAATTTGATTTGAATAAAATAAAATATAGAATTTATTTATTTTCTTTTCCGCAAATGGAAATATTGAATTTTTTTTAAATAAAACAGAATAAGAGAGAGAGAGAAAGAGAGAAAATGACGGGCAAGATAATCTCGATGATAAACATCATCACAATCATTCAATAATTCATTCGATAAAAATTTTGTTCATGAATTCTCTCTAGAAACAAAACAAAAAAATAAACACAATCCTAATCTGATGAAAAATAATTTTTTCTTCAATTTTTTTTCTGCTTATAAATTGCTAGATCATAAAACATTTGCATTTGTTGTTATTATGATGAATGCGTGTGTGTGTATGTGTGTGTGTAGTGCTTGTGACATTTATGATGCTAAAAATTTTCTTATGGTGGAAAAAAAACAAACAAAATTGCAGCATTGATGAAACACAAGAATAAATGATTAAGCAGATGATGGTGATGATGATGATTATAAAAACAAGAATGTCAAGTTGAATGTATTTTATTATATGTTGAATGTAGTTCAGAATATTCTTGATTCCATGATTCATTGTTTTTTAACGATTATATATATTGAATTAACACCAAAACAAAAAACACTGATAATGATGATATTGATGAATCTGATGATGATGATGATAATTTTTTTTTAACATTGACAATCCGAACGATTCCCACTACCATCTTGTCGACCATTAGCATTTGTTGATGATAAAACTGGACTTGGTTTATGCTGTACACCAGATTCGGCTGCATTCAAATCCAATGAACCATCCTGAATGTTAGAGAAAATACGACGGGCAGTCTCAAGAAAGGCTTCTTCAACACCATCACCGGTTTTTGCCGATGTTTCAATAAACATTAAACCATTTTCATCGGCAAATTGTTTAGCCTCATCATAAGTTACATCTCGTTGTGAATCCAGATCGGATTTATTACCAATCAAAAAAATGACCGTATTTGGATTGGTTAGATTTCTGGCATCGGTAAGCCATGAGCTTAGATGATTATAAGTGGAACGTCTCCTAATTTAATGTCAAAGTCGTTTTTTTTAATCTTTTAATAACAAAAAAAAGAGAGATTAACTTACGTAATATCGTACACCATAAGTGCACCGGCTGCACCACGATAATAGCTACGTGTGACGGCACGAAATCTTTCCTGTTTAAAATTTTGACAACAAACCAAAAATTAAATCCGGCCCCAATTAAACAGTAAAACATAACATACCTGACCGGCTGTATCCCAGATTTGTAATTTAATTTTTTGTCCACTAACTTCAATGATACGTGTACCAAATTCCACACCAATTCTTTATTATTCAAAATTTTTTTTTTGTTCAGAAATTAAACAACAACAACAACAACAACGAAAAAATGAGACTTACGTATGTGGACAATCGGCCATAACTGATAAATCAAAAAAAAAAGAATGAATGGTCAAGATTTTTAAATAACAAAAAAAAACAATTTAAAACTTACATTTTTTATCAGTAAATTGATGAAGAAGACATGATTTACCAACGCCCATATCACCGATGATTATATATTTAAAAATATAAGAATAATTATACGGACCGGATGCAGTCGACATTTTTTTTTCAATCGCTGTATGTTTGTCTTATTGAATTCAAACGAATGATGAAAATAATTAAATAGAAAATGAATGAAAAATTTGGTCCTAAAAAAACTAATAATTTATTGGTATTTTTTTTTCGTTGTTGTTGTTGTTGTTGTTAAAAAAATTATAATCAGGTTTCAATGTCCAAAATGTAGATCGTAGATCGTAGATAGTAGATGAACGCAGCAACAAACACACACACGCTAGCACACGTATACACACAACAACAACAACAATATTTTTCCAGTTATGGATTATGAATATAGTGAATGTCCAGAATGAATAATGAACATATGTTTTATGTTATATATATACGTTGATTCCTATATATATGAGAGTTTCATTACAAATGTAAAAAATGAATTGGTGAGAACAAAATATATCACATATAAAGGTAAACGGGATATATATGAAATATATATTGACAAATGGTTGGTCACTAAGCAAAAAAAAAAAAAAATTTCAGAACTTCATCATCATCGTAAAAACACATACCTGTGTATGATTATTGTGATTGATATAAAAATCGCTTTGGGCGTATATTTATGTTTTTCTCTTTGTTTATTAATTTATCTATCGATATATATCGATCGATTATATTTGACACAAACAAACAAACAGACAAACAGATGCTTAAAACGCACTCTCCAATAGTTGTTGCTGTGATTTTGGTATCCAATTAAAAAAACACACACACAATTTTATCTATTTCAAACAAATGATGTTTCCAATGATGATAACGATAAAAAAAAGATTTCATTGTTTTGATTGTATAATAATGATGATGATGATGGTGATAAAGTTATCATATAAAACGATGGCCATTAATTGATGACATTTTAAAGAATTTTTTTTTTGTTCCCATTGGTTAATTCAATGACGTAGTTATGTGTGTGTGTTGTTGTTGTTTTCGTATGCAACACAAATTCATGACAAAAAATAGAGACCATCACATATAGAGACAATGATATTACAGAATTATAATTCAACGACCACCACCATCATGATGATATTGACGTCAAAAAAAAGTTTTTTTTTTTGGGAAAAAAAGATATAAAATGAATGAATTTTTCATTATTATTACAATAGAATGGATACTGACCACTAAATGATGATGATGATGATGAGAACAGAATTTTTTTTTTTTTGGTTTTCGGAATTAATTCCGGTAAAAAATTCCACAAGGAACACAAAAACACAGGAAACAAAAAAAAGGAAATTTGAATTCTAATACACCCACAGATGAAAAAAAAAAACAAACAACTGGACTCAAAAATCAATATGCATCTGATTTTGGCAGATAATTTTCTTTTTCATTTTTTCATTTTCATTTTTTTTTTTTTTTTTGCTGGTGCAAACTAACGACGAAATTATGAGAGAAAGAAAAAAAAAATAAAAAACTTACCACTACCCAAAAATCAGAATGCACAACATCTCTATATCTCTATATATATATTTTGTTGTCAATTTTGGAAAAAATCTTTTCTTTTTTCGTTGATGATGATGTTTTTCTGTTGTTTTGTTGTTTGGTTTTCACTATTTTTTTTATTCACCATTCAAATGACTCACACACACACACCATACATTGGACTTTTTTACTTGCTCATTCATTTTGTAAACTGAATCATCAAACAAAACAAAACAAAACACACAACACACACACACACACACATCTGAGCGATGACGTCCAAAAGATAAACTTGTTTTTTAGTTCAAGAATCCATCAACAGAGGGCACTAGTCTCAGTGTGGAGAAAAAAAATTTAATTTTTTTTTTTTACCAGAATCTATAGAATCGGTGTGTGTGTGTGTGTGTGTGTGTGTGTGACATTTATTCATTAGAAATAGAAAACGAAAACGATCCAAAATAATAATAACAACAACGTAAAACAGTTAAATATTATATAGAATATATGATGATGATGATTTATGTGTATAAATAATATCAAATTGTAAATTCTGTTTTTTTTTTTTGAATTTTAAAGCTGAAACAATGATGATGATGATTGCACATGATTAATTTGGTTTAGAGATTCTATATTTTTTTCTCTCAATGTTTAAATTATGTAACTGTTTCAAATCGTCGTGAACCACATTCATAACAAAATTTGGCCATTACATTTGGATACTTGGTACCGCATTGATGACAGAATCGTGGTCTATTTTCATGATCAACAATTTGTTGTTGTTGTGGATGATGATTATGATGATGATGATGATGATGATCGATTAGAATTGATTCGGTAATATCATTACCATTAAGTTCAATCTCGTTCAATGAACTATTACGTAATAATAGATGATTTGCAGTTGGTTCAATATCCGACATTGTAGGTGAGCCAACCATATCAGCTCTAAATGTACGGCTACTAATTTTACTTCCGGATCGATCAGATTGTCGTGATTTTAATAGATTGATATCATTTTCATTTACTGTTTCCAATAATTGATTTGTACAGCCATTTGTCAAACCATAACCAACGACACCTAATCCCGAATCGGTAGAATCCGATGTAGACATACGAGCTTCATCACTATTGGCAGAATTTTGTCGTTGAATCATTGTGGTTGAATCTGTTGTTGTTGTTGTTGTTGGCTGCTGAATATTCGATGATTCTGTAATACGACCATTAATATGTTGTGTTAGTGGTTGTTGACCGATAGTAACAATACCATCATCACCATTATTAAGGCCATTGGCCATCATCATATCATTATTATTATTATTAGTAGTAGTAGTAGTAGTTGACCATATTGGGTTGTCATAGAGACGATTAATATATTGATCGATACGTTTTTTAATATCACCGCCCATCATCATTTGTAAATTAGTTTCCGATTTTGATAGAATAGTTCTATATAATATGGAAAAATTTAAATAAAAGAATTTTTCTTAATGAATGTAAATATCATACCCATGATGATGATCATCATCATGATGACTATTTGAATTATTTGATTTTTTAATAGGCGAAATACCACCAGTTCGTACACCGGGTACCGTTTTTGGTGAATCATCATAAACGGCCATAGAATTTCTACGTAAAATATGTTCAATATCATGAAATTGATCAATAATTGATTTGGCATGATTATTCAAATGATGATTTGGAAATTTTTCCTTAAATTTCATGATTGGTGCCGATTTTTCATGATGATTATTATTACGATTACGGCTTTGATTACGATCCGGATTAATGCCACTATCTATTTTGCTTGATACAGATAATTTTGGATTATATCCATTCGATGTTGTTGTCATCTTTTTGTTGTTGTTGTTGTTGTAAATTTCTGATTATTATTACGATCAATATTCTTCTTATTATTGCTTTTATTGTTCATTGTTGTTGTTGTTGTTGTTGTTGTGCGTCTTGACATTGATGGTGATTTATTGTTATTATTACTAATTTTCGAATTATTCATCGCTGTTGTCGTCGTTGTAGTTTTGCCTTTTTTTATTGCATTCGGTAAATTATCCGTACTTTTCGATAGAATTTTTGCATTATTTCGTCGATGATTTATACCATTCGTTGGATGTTGTTGTTGTTGTTGTTGTTGTTGTTGTGGTCGACGTAGATTATCCTGTGATGTTGAACGAATCGTCGATGTTGATGGTGTGGATGATGTTGATGATATTGTTGAACCAGTACTTGATAACGTTGTTATAGATTTTGAACGTGATATTAATTTGTCATTGTTATTGTTGTTACCAGGTGGTGTTGGTTTGTACTGCATACAGATTAAAAAAAAGAAGAAAAAAAATGAATTTATTAGCAAAAAAAAAATACACCGACGATACAATAACGGGATCGAGATATAATGAAATGAAATGGAAAAAAATTAGTCCCAAAAACCGTAAATAATCAGAAATCGATCCAATTTGTGTGAGCCCCCTGTAGAGAATTTTATTTTTTTCGCCCAATCAATCAATCGATTAAATCTATCCGTTTCAACCAACAGTATAGTCAACAACAAACAACAACAACAACAACGGGGAAAATCAAGGAAAAAAGGTAGAATTTTTTTTTCGTCTTTATTACTAAATCGATTTCTTTGAATGAATTCTATTCGAAGTTCAAGGATGTAATCAAAACAAAACAAAACAAAACAAAAAAAAATTTATTTTTGTCTTGTGATGAATTTTTTTGCTTTTACTTTTTAAAATTCAAATATTTTTCATCAATTCATTCAGTTTGTTCTCCCGGAACCCTAGCCGCCGCCGCAGCCGCCGACAACGATAAACACTAATGTCAATGTTGTGTGTTGTCATGTTAATCGATTTGGATCGATAATATCGATTGTTTTCAATGGTCGTAATTTTTTTTTTTTTTCAAGTTTTCCAGTTGAATGTCAAACACACACACATACACACATGCACACACGCACGCAATTTAAAAATTTCTTTTGAAATGATAAAAAAAAAATACAGATAATGATTGTTTTGTATCGAATCGATTTTAGTGCTGAACTTGACATTGGCATCAAATTTTTTTTTTTTGCAAGCCGAAAAGAATGAAAATAAAAAAAATTTACCTTTGTTCTTGCTTTCATACGTTGTAATGCTTCTTGTTGATTTTTCATACCATTCTGTTGTCGTTCATGTTGTTTACGTTTTGATTCTGCACACCATTCTATATGACGATCAGCTGCTTTGATTGAAAATCTACGTTGACATGTAGGACATTCAATAAAACCTGATGGTATTACATTAATCGATTTTTTCTGTTGTTGATCATATAAATCATCATCACCATCACCATCATCATCATCATTAGTGATGGATACACCACGTGCTGCACGTATTGTACGAATAAATTCTTCATGTTGTTGTCGCCAATTTGATTGTTTTTTTACCGTAGCCGCCGTATCATTATCATTATTATTATTCGTTGATCGTTTATTATTTTTCAATTTTCTGATCGATTTTGATTGATTTGTTTGTTGTTCACTATTAACATTATTAATATCCGTCGGTACCAGGTTAATTTTATCCAAATTTTCTGCACGTTGTTTGGCTGCATCAAATAATTTTCTTTTCTTTTCCTTAATCTTTTGACAGATAATTAAATGTTTTTCCTATTATAATGAATGTGACACCAAAAAAAAAAAAAACAAACGAGATAATGAAAAATGAATGAAACATGTTAATTAGACAACAAATATGACTTATTAGGGTCACAACATCACTATTTTTAGGTAATTTTTTTTCTTGTCTTTATCTTTACGGTTGTTTTTGTTTTTGTTTTGTATTTTTCTATCAAAAAATAAGAAAATAAATGGCGCCTATTTGTAAAAAACAAAAAAAAATACTGTGTTTTCATGGAAATTTTGTTGTTGTTTTGCATAATTTGAATATGAACGTCTTTTCTGTTGTTGTTGTTGTTGTCGTCGTTGACGTTACGCGATATATGATGATGCCCGCCCTATCAATTTGGAATATTAATTCTTTCTAGGAATCGATTTTTTTTGGATTGATTGATTTATATGTCAGGTCATCAAGATTTTTTGTTTCAAATGTTGGAAAAAAAATGATGAAGATATCTAGGTTAAGATAAGAGAAATAAAAAACACTTACCAATCGATCGGATAAAAATTTTCGTTCACATAATGAACATGGTACTAGATTTTGTTGATTTAATTTTGTTGTTGATTCAGATAAATCACCAGATTGATCTAATAATTCTTTATCGAACATGATCATCATTGAACCAACATTATCACCACCACCGCCACCGCCGCCTTGACCACCATCATCATCATCATTATTTCCACCAATAACTACATCATCATCCATTGATAATGTTTTCATTGTTGAATCTCAGAATATTCTTGTTGTCGTTGTTTTCTAACTGTACTTATTTATGAATCAAATTGTTCAAATTCATTTGATAATGATAATCACATTTCACTGGTTACAAACGGATTATATGCCACACACATTGGTTTGTAATAATTGAGATAAAAAACAAAACAAAACCACATTATTCAAGAATCAATTTGGAATCAAATAATGAACGGCTTTACGCACACACACAAAATGAATATGGAAAATGTTTCTGGAACAATATGCAGAATAATGAATAAAAAAAGTTCTCTAATTCGTTTTGTCTCTACTACTATCAGGAATTGTTTCTTGACGTAACCAATAGATACGGTTTATTTTTTTTTTTTTTTTTTCATTTCGGAAAAAAAGGCACAACACAGGTGATTTGGTGCATGCGTTATTGTTGAATGATTCTGTTTCCAGAATTGTTAAATGACGATAGAATATCTTTAGGAATGAATGAATAAATGAATGAAATCAGCAAAAAAAATATATCGCTAACCTGGAAACCAAAAAACAAATTCCATTGTCCTTGTTCCAAACCCGAAACTGGTCAGTTGATTCTATATTTTGAATTTATGTTTGCGGAAAAAAAACAAATGATTTGAAATGAATCTAATCTATATATGAATAGAATAGAACAGAATGTACAGTGAGTGTGTGTGTGTGTGTAAAAAATTATGACCACAATGTCTAGTTATCTTGATAATTGTGAATGATAATAATTGCTCCAAATTTCTGTTTTTTTTTCTTCTTGTTTCTCCTTCATGAATCCTTTATTCATTTAATGATTTCTCTAGAAAAAAAATTATCTTCTCAACCTAGTTTATTCACCATAAATCCATTGATTATCGCTGTGGCTAGGAAGAAGAAGAAAATGGAGAAGGGAAAAAAAAATCTCATGATTATCACACCAATTGTTGTTTCATCTTGGATTGTGAATTTTAACTACGTAAAGAGTGACAACAAAAAAAAAAGAATCATAACCATGAAAGGTAGAGAAAAAAAAACCACATGCAAACCAGACACACACACACACACACACTGATAATTCCATTTGTTCATGGTTGCAAAACCATTTGTGGTCATCGAAGCCTAACCAAACCAAAACTAAACCCAAAAAAAAACAATGGTCATGAGTTAATTTTTTAAATTAACTCTTCTTTTGAATGACTTTTTGATTATAATATTTTTGTTGTTGTTGTTGTTGTTGTTTTGTCACCATTTTCTTTCTTAAATGGTCGATATATATTTTGAAACAAATGATCATTCATGTCTGCTGTTTACCATAATTCATAATTATTTGTTTTCATTCGTTATGTAGTGGTAGAAAATGATAATTTATGCGGAAACATATATATATAGATATTCCTTATGGTGAACAATTTTATATTTTTTTTTTTGTACCTTTATAATTCACATATCACAACATTGATTTACGGTTCTGTTGTTTTCGCCTTTGATCTTAATCTTTTGATTATGGTGATGATGATGAATCGTGGTTGTTGTTGTTGTTTGTTTGGTTGATTGTTTGTTGTTGTTGTTTCACACTCATTCATTTATACTTGTTGATTTTTTTTCCTAGCCATAGGTTATAGGTGTTGGATATCCACACACACACACACACATCACACATTCATCAAGTGCAACTTTGAAATCTACTAGACCATGACACTAGTGACCATGATTATGAAAATGGATATTTTTTTTTTTGACGACGACGACGACGACAACGATGATCATAAATGTTTTTGTAGTTGTTGTTGTTGTTGTTGATTATGATGACAGGCTACACGTTACGACATTTATATTGTTATGTTGAATTTGATTAGATTAGATATTAGACTAGATTATCATTGTTTGAAGTTTATTATATTTTAAAATTCGTTAATAATAATAAAATCAGAAACCGATCAAACTCATTATTACATAAACAGAATGGAAATGGAATCATAGAAAAAAAATAACGAGCTCGATACAATCATTTTGTGTTTGATAAAATTAATTTAATTTATTAAAATAGAGATTAAAGAAAGATACATATATTATATATGGATATGGATATACCCAAATCAATTCGATTTTCTTGTTCGTTCGACCCGTTCATAAAGAACGTTACGCCAGTGTGCTGTAATCAGAATTCTTTTTATTCCATGCTTCCATTGGTGTTCCTCTTTTCAAAGTTGTTGTTCACAGACATCGTTACAAACTTGTGTAACATATAATCTCCACACGACTGATTTATAGCATATTATCAAAAAAAAAGATGGTTCAATAAATGGTAACAATATTTTCATCATCAATATGGATTATCTATCAATATATTATCGTTACAAAGAGATTTTATGTTGTTTATAACTCCATATTAGAAATTTTTTTTAAGATAAAAATTCTTCAAGAAAATCTTGGAAAACATCCTCGTTACCATAGAAAAGAAAGGAATGAAGGAGAAATTGACCTTTTTTAACATCATAATTATGTTATTATTATTATATTATTCCAATAATCTGGAATTAATTCAGCTTCTAAAATATCTTCTTCAAATAAGGATTCCAATTCATCAAGATTTATTCGTTTAGACCAGAGTTATTCGATAGTTGATGTGAAAAACATTGTGAGCAATGAACAAAAGGAAAATCATAGTGAGACATAAATAAAAAAGGATATATAAAAGAATAGAGGTATAATAAAGACAAACCGTTCATAAAATCTGTACTCATCTTGTCCTTGACAATTATATATATTAATTGTGTGTATACCAATACACTAAAAATTCATTGTATACAAATGGATATTATTCAGACTTTTTGTTATTGTCAATGCACATTCTCAATCATCATCATCATCATCATCATTTTCGTATCCGGTATTTACACATTTAATTCTGATATATATATATCTATATCATTGTTTCGCTGCTAGTGTGTTGATGAATTAATCATCACATTCCGTTTGTTCACTATATATTTCTTCTCATCAATCATTCATTTTTCGTATGTATGTAGCGCTGCTGCTGTAATCATTCATTCATTTGTTCGTTTTTGAATAATTTTTTCAATGTTCGTTTGTTCCAAATTAATAGTAGTATATATTTTTGATATGTAGATTGATGGTGGTTCCAGAATATATGATACCAAATGTGGTTATTATTAATATATACATGGTCATTCTAAAATTATCATTATTATTTTGTCATCATCCACTTTTCATTTTCATTTCATTCGATTGTTTGGATCTGGTCTTTCTTGATTGCAGAAGAATTTAGAAAAAAACCAGTAATCATAATCATAATCATAGTATTTGTTGTTCATTTTTTTTTTTTGTTTTTTTTTGTTGCTTATGAACCACCAAACAATATAATGATGATGATGATGATAAACAATCAATGGTGATATTATTTGTTCTTGTCATCAATTGGTAAATGACACATCATTACATCGAAAACATCAGACGTTGACAAAGCAAAAAAAATTTTTTGTCATCGTTTATGACGACTAGACAGACACATAAACACCATCTGGATAAGCAAAACAAACTTTGGTTGCCACACCAATGTGTGTAAATCGAATTTTTTGGTTTTTTGGTTTTTGTTTTGTTTTGTTTTTTGCATAACAATGAAAATCATCAGATTTTATTAAATTTTGTTTTCTTTCCTCTAAAAATAGCCAATAATTCATCATCAAATCAGCAGTGAATTAAAAAAAAAATAATGACCAACATATTCAAAACAAGATTATTATTATTAAAATCAATGAATTATCGAAAGAAATTTTCATCACTAATAACAACAACAATAACTTCCCGTATTTCGACAATTTTATTGATGATGATTATAATCATCATCATATATATTGTTATTATATTTTACAATGTTTAAACAAATTAATCAAGAAAAACCAATGTTTATCCTGTTTGATGAATCAGAATTGAATCCAAATATAACCACCACCATTATGGCTACAACAACAACAATCGTCAATGAGAAATCATCAGATTTGAATTGAATTACCATTTATGCTGGTATGTCAAAATTAGTCTAGTCTAGTCTGTATTTAAACACCAACAACAACAACAACAACAACGGAAATTTCTTTTCAGCAGAACAAAAATGGCCAAATTAATTTTCACAATTACAATATTCATCATCATATTATCAATACCAATTTTGGCTATCGATCTGATGCAAAAAGATTATTCCAAAATGAACATTCAACAATTAATGGATGAATTAATCATGATAACAAGTGAAAATGATCCATCTGTAATTCAATCAGTGATCGATACATATCTATCAATACGAAAAAATTATTCTTGATACAAAACAAAACAAAAATATGATCATCATTTGTGATTTTTTATTTATTTAATAATTAAAATGACATAATAATAATTGTAAATTGTAAATTACATTTGTATACATATTGATTGTTGATTTAAATCAACGACAACAACAACAACAACAACATTTCAATATGGACGCCATAATCTACTGCTTCTTATCGATGATGATGATGATGATTGATGTGATTCATGTTTTCCTGTTGTCGATGTCATCAATGATGATGATCGTTGTTGATGATCATTGTGTTGTTGTTGTTGTAATGCAGCTGCAAACATTATTTGTATATTTTTCAATGATTCAGTTGTTGTCGTTGACGATGATGATTGATCTATTGGATGGCCAATACCACCGAATAATGATAATGTTGGTGATGTTGATGATTCCTGAAATTTCATCATCGATTGTTGCATTGTTGTTGAATTGTTCATCTGTGACCAAAGAAGATATGATTGTGCAGCAGCAGCAGCAGCAGCAGTAGCTGCTAATGACATTGAATGAATCGATGATTCAATTATTGGTTTTGATGGTGTATTTGCCATCGACAATGTTGATTTTTCATTTGGAATCATTAAAGATGTTGGCGGCGGTGGTGGTGGTGGTAGCGGCAGCATCAGCAACGATTGCTGTTTCGATAATGAACGATAATCATCATGATCATGATCATTATTATCGTCACATGAATCAACATCAACATCAACATTAGATGGTGATCCTAGATATAGATAAACGAGAGTGAGAGAGAGAGAGAAAAAAAAAATTTTTTTTTTGTTTTAATTAATTTCAAAAAGAAAAAAACAAACAAACAAACAAATAAACAACATGCGGCTTGACTCTATTTTTATCTTTTCATCCCAATTTTTATCTTTATCAACATAATCCTAATTTCTGGATGTTGACAATTTTTCTTTCATTTCATCATTCATAATCATCATCATCATCATTATATTTTGTGTAGATAAACACACACACACACACATACACACAGAGAGAGATTATGTAAATTGCTTTGAATCATTTTTTTCGTTCAATAGTTTGATCAGAACCATAATGTACTTGTATAGAATGTGAATATTTTATCCACAGGCTACTGAATTGGTCGTTGATCATCACCACCACCACCATCAGCAGCAGTGTGTGTGTGTGTGTGTATTATGGTCAACCAAGCGAAGTTTTCTAGCTAAAAAAACCAAATTCAAGTGAACAAACAACCAAAAAAAATTGAAAATGATCATTCGCTTCAATGATAATGATAAAAAAGTTGTAGTTTTTTTTCGTCTTTTTCTTCTTCTTTCTGGTCTTTTAATCATCATCATCATTATGAATGATCATTTTCAATTTTTTTTTTGGTTATTTGTTCACCTGATTACAAGTTATGTGGTAATTTTTTCACCAAGAAAAAAAAATTCCACTTTTGGCCATTGATGGAATATATGAAATTTTTTTTTTTTTTTTGAACAACCAAACAACCAAACAAACCGATTGAGAAATCAATCATATAGATTTTCAAAGAAGAATTGTATGCTACTATGTATCTATTAATAACTCTCTCTCTCTTTTTATCTCCATCATCATCATCATCATCATCACCTTTTTTTTAAATGGAACACAACAATCATCAATAAATTATATATATAAAATGGCTAAAAATGATGATTATCATTTATGCATAATGTTTCACCTCATTATCATTTTGTATTTTTTTTTCTCTGTTATCTAGAAGTAGTATATATATATATATATCCAACCGACCGAATAGGAAAACAATTAAGAAATATAAATCAAATTAGACGTTTATTTTTTTTTGTTGGTTCATTTAATTGTATTTAGATCTATGTTGTCGTCGTCGTCGTCGTTATGGTTGTTGTTTTGGAATTGTGTGTCATGTAAAAAAAATGACTGATTTGATATATGGATGGATCAAAATTTAATTTTGTTTCGAAACAAAACAAAAAAAAATTGGCAAACAAATGTCGCCTAATTTGTATTTCCGAATTTTCCGAATTGTGAAGAGAAATGATAATATGATGTACCTTCAAGGCAAATTGACAGGTAAATTCAGGTGTTCTATTTTGTTTTCTGTTTTTTGATATGATAATTGTTTATTAGACACGCTAGCGATTCATAATCATAATCATCATCATCATCATCAAGAGCAAGTGAACTAGAAGAAGATTGAAGTGAGTACAAACTTACCTTGTTCTGTAATCGATAAAATTGATGATTTGGATGATTCGGATGATGATGATGATGATTGATCAATTTCATTATAATCATCAAATTCATTATTTGATTTCGATTTCGGTGATATTGTTGTTGTCGATGAATATGATGATGATGGTGATTTTAATGTTGTTTTTGTATTAATTAATTGATTTGAATTTAAATCTTGAGGTAAACCACCAATGCTACCACCACCATCTTCATTATCATCATCATCATCATCACAGTTATGACTATTACCATCACCTGGTCCATTTCGGTTAATTCTGCTGGTAGTGGTGGTGGTGGTGGTGGTGGTTTTTTTTTTTTCGATGATTTTGTTGATGATGAAATTATTCCATTATGATGATTATCAATAAGTGGCCTTAATGTTGATTGTTGTTGTTGTTGTTGTTGCTGCTGTGGATATGGCCACGATATTTGATTATGATGATAGTGATGGCTATTGTGGTTGTTTTTGTTACGATGGTGTCGATAATTCGTCTTCGTTGTTGTCGTATTATGATGATGACCACCACCACCACCACCACCACCATGATCATCATGATCATCATCATCGTCATTTTTGTCATTATTTTTCAAATTGCAAAGACCTTAAAACAAAACAGAAAAAAAAAAAAAAAAAATTCAAGAATGAAACCAGATATTTTTCAGAAAAATTCACGATTTTTTTTTCGTTTTGGTTTAAATTTTTCGAAATACAAAAAACACTAAAACGGTGATTAATTATTAATTTTTTTTTCGTTTTTAATTTCTTGAAAAAAAACTACTACTTTATGGTAAAAGTCGAAGATAATTACGGTGGTCAAACAAATCTCGTGTACGGCACGTATGCCCATTGGCCATCTTGGCCATATCATTCACATTACAGTGGAAGACCCGAGGGTCAATTCATTCAATCATTTCAGCTGCAACAAATGAACAACAACAACAACAACAATTTTCGGATGTGGGCTGGTCATTATCGATATCATCATATAAATCATATATTGATGGTCAACAATATTGGACCAAACGAACAACAAAAAAAAAACAAAACAAAACAAAAACAATAGCCAAGTAGGAAAAAAAACTGTAAAAAAAATCTGACCAAACAAAAAAAAAAAAAAAACTCAAGGTGTGGCATCATTTTGTTAAATGAAAAAAAAAAAAATTTTGTTTCAAACAAACTTTGGAGAAATTCTTCACATTTTCGTTTGTTGCTCAATCAATTTTTTTTCCCAATTTGGATCGAAATAAACATTAAGTTTTTTTTTGGCCCCAAATTTAACTATTTTTGTTTTGTTTTTTTTTTTTTGGTGATGATAATGATGATGATGACGATAATTATCATCATCATCATCATCATCATTAGATTATTACAACCTATAATTAAAACCAATGTAAACTTGCTAATTCTAATTGCCAAGAGCCCCACAGTGTTTGTTTGGGTTTGATTTTTTTTTTTTTTTTGGGTTTTGTTGAAAAAAAAACACAAAATGAAAAAAGTTTTTTCGTTGGGTTTCAAAATAAATAAATTCCGAAAAATAAATGAATGACACACATACCTTGATTATTATTTGGATGAAATGAATTTATCTTTGTACGTGGTTCACGTGGTCCATCAACAGTTACTTTGATTGCTTTACGATAGAATGCAACAATCATTGGTTTTGTTTGTACAACAATGGACAATGAAAATGATTTACCACGTCCAGAACGAGCAATAAAACGTAAATCATGAAATTTTGCCACACCATTTTTCGTTACAGCCATACCGTTACGTATTTCACCGAAACAATTTTCTTCATTACCGGCTTTCACTTGTACAATGGTACCATCTTTTATTTGACATCCATTACAATCACTTAATATGATCACTTTGAATGTATATGGTAATGATTTATTTAAACGCCAATGTGTTGGTAATTGTGTACAAAGAATATTTGGTGCACCGGTTCTTATTAATGATGATGATGATGATGATCCGTTATTGAACCATTTGTTGTTGAACCAAAATAATTATTAATATTTGCATGTTTCAAATATTGATCTATTAATTGATCATTCAATATATCCATATTGATTGATTTTTCATCGAACACATAGAACACAATAGAATCACAGGTTTTTTTTGCTGAATTTTGACCGACAAAAAAATTCTTTAAATCAACCACCACTTGTTGAGGTTCCAATGACGATAATCACGATGATTCAATTCAATTTTTTGTCTTTCATCCAAATTCACATCAGGAAAAAACCAAACTAACCAACCAACCAACCAGCCAACCTACCATCGACACCCATCTGTATAATCTTGTGTTGTTGTTGTTGTTGTTGTTGTTCGTACACGATCAAACACCATTCAAATTTAAACCAAAAAAAGAAAAAAAATGAAGATCACAACCACCACCACCACCATCAAAAAAAAAAATCCTTCATACCATCATCAGCATATACCGGGGCATGTATATGCATAGAAGCTAATTACATGCATGAATTGCTGTTGTTGTCTTCTGTTGTTGTTGTTGTTGTTGTTGTTGTTGTTGTCGTGGTCTTTTTTCTCTCTCTCTCTTTCTCACTAGTTTTTTTTTTGCTAGTCCAAGTCTTTATTGTTCATGTTTTCTTTTTTTTTTTTTTTTATTTTATCTTTTATTTTTTTATGTGATTCCGTTGTTTTTTTTCGCCAATGATGATGATGATGATGATGATGATCTGTAATACGAGGCAAAATTTTGTCGGTTTTTCTTTTTTCATGTTTCGATTGGCCAAATTGGAATTGGTGGTGGTGGTGGTGGGTAGTAGTGGCGGCTGCTAAATTTTTTTTTTTTACATTTTCATAAAGTCATAAAAAAATGAAAAAAATTAAATTTACAATCCAGATTCAATGAGAAATTGCGACACAAACAAACAAACAAACAAACAGAAAAAAAAAATTTTGTCATGTGTAATGAGCAAATTCTTGGCTGGAAAAAAAAATTTTTTTTCAGAACTTGGCGACATGTCGATATCGTGGTCGTCAATTAGTTGTTTTTGTCGGTTAAGCTCAAATTGAATCATCATCTGATTTTTTTTTGAATTTTCGGATCTTTTTTTATTATTGTTAGGGCCATACGAATTATTATCATTATCATGATTATTTCTGTCTGTGTGTGTGTGTGCGTGTATAGATGAAATGTTTCGCTGTTGTTGTTGTTGTTTTTTACGACCTTTTTTTATATTTTTTTTTGTGTTTCAAATTTCATTTTGGTCGTTGGTTTTTTTTCGTTTGTTTTATTATCATTATAAGTTGAAAGAAGAACAAAAAATAATGTTCATGATCGTCATTGTAAATCATAAAAAATGAATGAAAAAAAAAATTTCATTTTGCCCATCATGGACATCCATATCATGATCATGATCATCATTTGATCATTTGATGATGATCGTCATTATCATCAAATGTGGCGGTACTATTTCTTTGAAAAGTTTTTATTTTCTAATTCTGTTTGTTTGAAATTTTTTTTATTTTTATTATTATACAACAATTCATGTTTAGGTTTACTTTTTCTCGTTTGTTTTTGTTTGTTTTTTTTTGCCGACACCGACCTTGATGGTTTGTGTGCAAGGAGTGTGCGAAGGATTCACATCAATTGTTTACAAGTGGTGAAGAAGAAAAAAAAATTTAAATTCCCCATGATAACATTGTTGATGGCCAGATGGCAGCAGATATTCAATGAAATTGAAAATGAAAACAATTGCACATTGTGTGTGTGAGTGTGTGTTCGAGTGTTTTTATAATTTGAAAATTCATTGAATTTGAATTTGAATTCCAAATCATTTGTAAGGTAAAGATTAATTTTTTTTTTGAATAATAATGATAATCATCATCATTTTTTACCATTTTTGTATTCATAGAAATCAACTTATCAAAATTAATCTATGAACAATGACTGATCAATCATCAACTAGATTGACTACCGAAATAATGGAATTACCACCACCATCATCGGATTTCAAGCCAAACACTGATGATTGGCCTGAATATAAACGTAATGTACTTGGTATTATTTATCTTGATGATTATGATGGCAAAATTGATGATATTAATGAATCATCGAATCAAACTATTGAAATACCATCGCATGGAACAATCGATCCAAATGTACAACCTCAATATCAATGTATTAAATGTGGTAAAATACAAACAAATGAATCGTTGGATGAAATTCATCGAATGAAATGTTTACGTTGTTATAATAAAGCATTCAACAAAATTAGACCAACAAAATGGGTTAAATTTCATGCATATTAAAATGATCTAAATTTTTTTTTGGTCAAAATTTTTGTCTCTTCATTTATGAATGGGTTATTTTAATCGCACGTGTTCAATTTTATGATTTCAACAAGTTTTATTATTTTTGTTTTTTTTGTTACATTCATTTCAACATTGATTAAAACAAATGGAAAAATCCACAATAACGGTCAAATCAAAACCATTGTCTTTACCATTGCTGGTATTGTATACGCACACTGGATCCATTCCATTTTTAAGCTGGAATTTTGTTCGTAAATACAATGGAATCCTGTTTCGATCCGAACAAGATATGGTCGATGAAATTAATATGGTCAAATTGAATGTTGCAGATTTCTACGATTATTTAGAATCTAATGATCATGATCATCATCTATCTAAGTTGAAAATATTTTGAAAATTGTTCATTCCTCATGTCGTTATTTGATCCATTACAATTTTGTTATTTGTACAAAAGTACTGATGATCAGATTGCCATTCACACTTATCATGGTAAAAAAATGCTTTCCGTTGATGATATGTTAAAATTATGTCGATCAATTGGTGTTGAACATGTACAAGCAATTGCCGATATAATTACACCACCTAATGCCGGACGAAAATGGTTAAATAAATCGGTGAATAGATCGTCAAAATTCCTCGACGATACGATTAATCAATATATTTCCGATGATGATAATTCTTCTGGTCAATCGATAAAAATTTGGGCAACACTAACCGGTGGTTATCAATCCGAAAGTCGAGTTCGTGCATGTCAACAGATTTCTGTTCATGCAGATAAATTGCAAGCAATCATTATTGATGGTTTTTTTGGATATATAAAAACCGATGAAGAAAATTTCAAATATTATCATGATATATTATGTCGTGATGTTCTTCAAAATCTTCCGGCAAACATTCCAAAAGCATTATTCGGTATATTATATCCGGATACAATGATCAAATTGATTAAATGTGGAATCGATATTTTTGATAGTTCAATATGTACATTTTTGACCAACAGAGGTCGGGCATTACCATCACCATTGATTTGTGAAAATACTATGAAACTATTATTTGATCGATCAATAACTACTACTACTACTACTATCGATTCTGATATAATCATCAACAATCCAAATCCATCGATAATAATTGATTTAAATAATTTCACATTCAAAGATAATAATCTATTATTAAGTAACAAATGTCAATGTTATACATGTCAAATGGGTTTTACACGTGGCTATATTAATCATCTATTGAAACGAAAAGAGATTAATGCTAATATTTTATTACAAATACATAATCATTATGTATTGACAAAATTTTTTCATCAATTAAAACGAATAATACAAACCGGAAACTTTGATCAATTGCTAGCCAATAGTCATATAAATGTTGATGACAATACAACACAATGTTATAAATCACAGCCACCATCAATGAATGGAATCAATTGAAAAAATGGATACATACCAATATAATAATATTGACCATATGTCTGCAAATAAACTAAATTCAATCATCATGAATCAAATATCGATGAATGCAGAATCAAAACGGAAAACCAAAAAGAAATGACCATCTTATTTCATAACAAAAATCACATGACAGCTGTACTTGAAATCAATTTTTTTTTTTACCAAAACAAAAAAAACCCGATAATTAATCATTTCATAATGATAATGAGATATCATGTGATATGATATGATATGATATGATGATTTTCATGTTCATTTTATTTTCAAATAATAAAAAATTATTCTCTAAATTCAAAACACACAACGAATTCAACGAAGCAGAAAATAATAAAATCTTATTATTAGTCGAAGGTCATGAAAAAAAAACAAACAAAAAATCTTTCATCATGGTTTTTTTTATTTTCATAGATAATCTCTTGAAATATAATAATCATTATTATTAGACAAACGATAACGACAACGACAACGACAACAACGACAACAAAAATGATTAATAGTTTTCTTTCGTGGATTCTTTCGTTTTGGATCTAAATTTGGAATTCTGTTTTTTTTTTTCTCGGATCCGATTTGGTGCGCAATTTTTTTCATTTCATATTGAATTATATTGTTTTTTTTTATTCTAGTATCATCATAGATAATGATTATTTCGAGGTGAATGATGGATTCGTTTCTTTTATTTGGCATTTTTCGTTTTTTTTTTTCATATTAAGAAACGAAAAATCTATCGTATCATTGCGTTTGTGTGTGTGTGTGTTTGTTGGTTTTTTTTCCATTGATTTCATTTTCTTTGTTTCTAGCGTGTTGCAAAAAAAAAAAAAAATGTCTGTTCATGATTTTAAGAAATGTGGATGAAAAAAAAACTTATCAGTAACATAACAGTGTAATATTTATATATCGATCAATTGTTGATCGATTAATCGATTGTTTAAAATTGTTTAAATTTAGTGAAGAATTTGTTGCATTTTGAATCATCATTTAAATGTTAAACACTACACATACATACACACACACATATGTATGCACTAACAATAAACAAGAATATTCTATATTCTGTAATTCTGTACACACACACACACACACATTACCAATTGTTATCATCATCATCATCATCATCGCCATTGTTGTTGTTGTTGTTGTTGCCATTTTAAATTCCTTAAAATCAATGATCATTAAATTATAGTGATAATTAATTCCCTTATTTTTTTTATTTCCTCATTTGTATACCGAAAAAAGAAGAAGAAGAAAAAAAAAAAAATGCTAAAAATAAAAAACATGTGAGCGAAAAACAAAAAAAAAAAAAACAAATGCCGAAAAATCCAATGCCAATGGTTAATCTTGTTTTATATATCGAAAAAAAAGACAAAATCATCATTTCTTTGAATCTAATTTAACGATATATTCCTGGAAAATGCAAGAGAAAAAGATTTTTTCTTTGCATTTTACAGCAAAAATCATACACATACTTTTTTTTTGGGGATTTTTTTTTGGAGATTTTTTTTCTGGTTGGTCTTGAATGAGTTTCCTGTGTGTGTGTATTGATGAAAAACAAGAAAAAAAAATTCGTCATTGTGGTAATAATTGAATCGATTTTTTTTTCCACTTTTTTTTTTGGTTAAATGCATTGAAAAGACATTGAATTCATCAGATCAGATCTAGATTATGATTGCATTGATTATGCAATTACAAGTGTGTTCGTGTGTGTGTGTGTGTGTGTTGCAAAAATACAATGAACTCTGAACATGCTAAACTACTGCTGAAATAGTTTTCCAATTTTCATTTGTCTCTTTTTTTGAAACAAAACAAAAAAAACGATGACGACAAAATTTTCAAATTTCTTTGATACTTTACAAACTTTTTTGCTAACGGTTTCTCTCCATTTTTCTTCTCTTTCTCTTTTTTTTCTTCTATTTAACTATCATAACTTGTTGAACAAGTTATCCAAATCATCATTATATCATAATCATATTCGATATATCAATATGTGTGTGTGTGTGTGTGTGATTTTACGAAAGAAAAAAAAATTGATGTTGCAAATGAATCGATTATGGGGCGAAACAAACAAACAAAAAAAAAAAAAAAAAAATCAAGCAATTCAAGGTTAACATAGTTGTAATATGCAAAAAAAAAAAATACTAATGTATCTAATGTAAGTATGACCAAAAAAAAAAATTTTGAATTTCTCAATAAATTGATTTTTTGATCATTTGTATGGATCTTGTATGTTCATATTTGTCAATACAATCGTTCCATTTTTTTACAATTTTCTTACAAAAAAAAATTTTTTTTTTTCACTTGTCGTTTAACTTATGTTCCATTGATTCGATAAATTAACGATATCGACAACAACAACAACAACAACAACAACAACAACAATAATAACGACTAGAAACTACAACCACGACGACAATGTTTTATTCATCATCAAAATCATTCATTACGTTCATTGTTTTCATTATTTTCATATTTAATTTTTGTTTATTAATTTCTAATAAAGTTGATTGTGGTAAAAAAAAATCCAATAAAAATAATAGAAATAATAAAAATGATGATGAATGTTCGGCCGATGTACGAGAAAAATTCGACAATAATGTAGCCAAATTAATGAGTCTTGGCCCTAATGGTCGCCATTGGCCAGAAACTGAACCAGAACATGATGATTATTGTGCGTAAGTGTTCAATTCATTCATCGATTCATTGATTTGAGTCATGGTTATGTGAAATTTTTTTTTTTTTTTCAATTTCAAAAATAGTGAAACAAAACGTTTAAATCAACATCTTGATGATTATAAAACAACATGTTCATCTGGTCCATCCAAAGAATTTGCATCAATCATATTGTTTTCATTAAGACGTGTAACTAGGCAATATTGTCGTAAAACGGCAGCAAACAAACGTAAACATACGAAATTATTTGCAATGTATACATGTTCAAATCAATTATCAAATCAAACTGGTGAATGTTTGGAAAAATATATTGATTCATTATTATCGACAGTAAAATTATCGACAATTGAACAGAAAATTCCATATACATGTTGGTATGTATCGATCAATCAATTCGAAAACTTTTTTGATCATTTCGATGCATTGTTTTTTTTCATTTTTTTTCCATTTTTTTTCATCAATTTCACAATAGCAATTATTTTGAACTATTAAAATGTACTGATGATGTTTTCCATTCCGAGGTTAAATGTGCCGATTCATCAGAAACATTTCAAGAATTTGTACGTACAATATTCGATGATATAATCAATGTTGCTTGCGGTGATTATGTTGAATTTAGTGATAAATGTCAACAATTGCCAATATTATCATTACCAGTACAAAGAAAAAATCAAAAACGTCCAAAATCAATATTAATACCATTGATTGAAATTTGGGATCAATCTGCATCGACCAAAACTAACTGACTGGATGACTAGATCATTGAATCTCCTCGGGGTCATTGTCATTTTTTTTGCTTTCATTGCTGTCATCATCATAATCATCATCAAATTGGTAAACGGGGAAAAAAAATCTGACCTTTCAGTGGAATCGTTGGGCACAATTGGAATTTCATTTTCATTTGTTTTATCGATATTTTTTTTTATCTTTTAAAAAAATAAAATTCTAGCTATTAATTTTACTCCTACTTGATGCGAAATTATCATCATCATCATAAACTAATAAATCCAATCCAAATGCTTAGAACGCAGTCATATGTGTTTTTTTATTTTCTGGCGATGATGTCAAATGTCATCATCATCATCATCATCATCAACAGGATTTTTGAACTTTGGACAAGGTCCTGTGTTTTCAATTTCATTTTTTTTTTTTTTTTTTTTGGTTTCCTGTGTTGTTTCCTTTGTGTGTATGTAGGTTTTCGTTTTCTCATTTTTACCAATGGATCATTGGATGATTATCATTTGAAAAGTTATCAAAAAAAAAAAAAAAATTTCTGTTGGTGTTCAATAAATGTTTATATAGAAATTAAATTCAAGTATCATTTTTTTTCGTCCAAGCTGAATGTGTGTGTGTGTGTGTGTGTACTGTTTATTTATTATTTGGTCGATTGGTCTTTTTATATTTGTTTTGATCAAGATTAAAACACACACACACACAGGAACGAACAAAATTGTTGGCCAAAATATAGCAGGATGGACTATCTTTGTGTGTGTAGAAAAAAAAATTTTTCGAATTATCTAGACTTATGTACCAAAAAAAAAAAAAAAAAAAAAAAAAAAAAATTCTTTCAACAAACAAAACATTGTGGTGATATATAGGAAAAAAAACCATCTCAAATACATTTATAACTACAAAAAAAATACACACACACACACACACACACACACATACATGGACATGGAGATCTATTCAATGTTCATCAATATAAAAATCAATGAAAACGATTTCAATCATAATCATCATCATCATCATTAATTTGACCACAAAACGATTGACCATCAGCATCAAGCTTTATTCATTCATTTTATTTTTATTTTTTGCTTTAAATACACGAATACACACACACACACACACAAACTGTCCATTGAATTGAAAAGAAAAATTTTCCAAATTTTTTTTTTTTCGCTTGGCTAACCATAAAGGATAATAACAACAACAACAACAAAAATGAAAATGAAATATTTACCAATCATTTTATTATCGATATTAAATTGGTTTGTAGCCAATATTTGGATTGTTGCTGCAGTCAATACACAATCATCATCATTATCATCATCATCGAATTCATCATCATCATCATCATTAAGCTCAAAATGTTCATCATCAGTACTTGAAGCGTATGATCATGATATGGCTAAATTGATGACCATTGGTCAACGTATATGGCCAGAAAGCTATCAGGATAGTAAAAAATTCTGTATGTAAGTGAAAAAAATCACAATAAATGAAAATGAAAATCTAAAATAAATTTGTTTGTAATCGTTCCATTTTTTTCAATTATTACTATCTATCGATATTATGATTGAACCAAAAAAAAAAAAAAAATTCCAGTGAAAGTCGTCGATTACATGATAAAATAAATCAATATAAAAATCGTTGTTCCATTGGTACGGCCAAACAATTTACATCGGTAATCATTTATTCAATACAACGTGCACATAAAACATATTGCCCAAAACAAGCGAATAAAAAAGTGATCAATTTTTTTAAAGCACAATCATGCACTAATCGTGTAATGAATCAGACAACAAAATGTTTGAATCATTATATTGATCAATTGCAGGCAATTATAAGGGCACCTATTGTCAAACAAATTCCACATGTTTGTTGGTAAGTTTGTTTTGTTTTTGTTACTTTTTATAACGTTTTTTCCTCCACATTTTCATCATCATCATCATCGTCATTACTATAGCCAATACTTTGAAATGCTGAAATGTTTTGATAAAGAATATGAAAAAATACCAAATTGTTCAGAATCAGCTGAAATATTCAACAATTTTGTACGACAAATATTTGATGATATCGTAAATCTATCATGTCAAGATTATAATGAATCAACTGATCGTTGTGAACATTTAGGACAGCCACCATCATTATTGTTGACTAAAAAGAAACATTTTAAATCATTCATATTACCATTGATCGATATTTGGAATCAAGTGGATGGCCAAAAATAATAACTGATGATGATGATGAATAACAAAGAGCCACACATTTACGCACACCCAAAAAACATTTTCCCATTATGATTATTTGATGGAAAAAAAATGTATCAAAATAAAAATTTTCGAAAACAAAAACAAAAACAGAAAAAAATTAACAAGAAAAATGTCCCGTGTTTTCGTCATTTTTTTTGTCGTTGCCATATGGAAAAATTTATATTTACCAAACATTCGACATTTCATTTTTGCACAGTGTATGAAACATTCCCTGGTTAGTAGTGGTGAGATTTCATATTCCATTTGAAATTGATGAAATCATTTAATCCGTTTGTTGTTGTTGTTGTTTTGAAACAAAATATTCAAATAGAACAAAAAAAAAACAGAATCGACAAAAGTAAAAAACAAAATTCAGTGTGATGATGAATGATTTGTGTGGAAAATTTCTTCCTCACCGATGCTTTCACACACACACACACACACACATTGAGATAACACTTTCCCCATTCACTTTTTTTGGGGCACAAACTCATGACAAATACAAAAAAAACGTCATATGAAACCAAATACAAATGACAAATGATGTGGAAATAAATTTTGACATAAATCTGGTTATTACAATTATTAAATGTGGGAGGGTGGGGAGGGTTGAGTGAAAAAAAATAAATTGTTGAAAATTATTTTTTTTTTTGTGCGTGTAAGCGCGTGTTTCAAAGATAAATTAAATATATATACCACACACGCCAGAATAATATAAAACGTCAATGGTAACATAGACAGAAAAAAAATCCAATCTTTTTTATGCGTGTGTGTGTAAAAAGGGGTGTAATATTTTGTTGTTGTTGATCGTTAATTTTTAGATTAATTTCTCTCCAAAAAAACATTTGTGTGCAAAGGGGAGAGAGAGAGAGAGAGAAGAGAAGTAGATTTTTTTCCTCAATCATAATTCATTCGTAGTCGTCGTCATCATCGTGTAACATACGGTAATGATTTTGATGTGAATTTTATTTTCATTTTCATTTTTTTGTTGTTGAAAACACATGGCGCCTACTTTATGGTTATTGTTTGTTATGTTTCAATGACGATGATGACTGTTTTTTTTTTTGTTGTATTTCAATATCAACCATCATCATTTCGTTTATGATTAGAACGAAAAAAAAACAACAGCAACAATGACAATTGGAAATCTATAGTTTTGTTTTCAGTGAATGAAATGAAAAACCTTCACACACACACACACACACACAAAAAATTGAATATCAAATGAAAAAAAAAATTGATTGAAAACCAATAAATGGATTACCTATCTATCGATCTATTTATTGGTTGTTTGTTAAACAAAACAAAGCAAAAAAAAAATCTCATTATTCATTCGACTTGAATTGTCATTTACACACACACACACAGGTACACAATAATGGTGATGTTGGTAGGAATTTTTTTGTTATTATTCAAGGTAAACATTCATTGATCATTCTGGTCCTGCATACACCGTTTATTGATTTGGCAATATCAAGAAAATTTTTACTGAGAAAATTTAATTGAGAAAAAAAAATAACAAAATCAATCAGATCCTGAAAGGAACCTATCAGATTTCATGTGTGTGTGTGTGTGTGTGACAAAGAAAGTGGATGAAAATCAATCTTAAATTTTTCTGAAACTTTCTTTTTCTTCTTCTTCTTCTTCTTCTTGTCTTTCTTGTTGTGACAGAAACAATTGCCAATTGCTGTCACAACATCAATGGTACAGTAATTAAAATTTTCAAATGAAATTTTTTTCCGTTATTTTTTTTTTTTACTTTACAAATTTTCATGAAATTTTATCCTATTATCAAGAATATGTACCCATTCAATTTTTTTCAGTTTTTACACAATGATATCACGACAAACACGGTAAATCCATTTTATCAGACAGAAAATAATAATAGGATGCCAAAAGGAATTTTTTTTTTCGTTTTTCAACCAGAAATGCTCATTTTCTATGTCGAAAATGTTTTTTTCATTATGATTACATAAAACAACAAATGATGCAACAATTTAAGAAAGTGAAACAAAAAACAAAAGAATAAAACAGAAAAATCATAACCAACGAATACAGAATTCAATCATTTTTATGTTTAGATTATTCATTGTCTCAATGGAATTGATTTATATATTGTGGAATCTTAGTGTGAACAAACAAACGAAAGGAAAAAAAATTGATATAATTTCATTCTTAATGAGTTTTGCTAATGTTGTTGTTGTTGTTGTTGTTGTTGTTGTTGTTGTTGTTGTTGTTGTTGTCGTTGTAGTTTATTAGTGGTGATGATAAATTGAATATAAATAAAATGATGATGATCAATTTGGCTGTTCATAAAATAGTTTTTTTAGTTTTTCTATATAGCACAATGTTTATGTAATGTTTTTTTTTTATTTTTCTTTTGTTCATGTTGAATTTAATTAATGAAATGGATGGATTCATTTTTGTGGTTATATTTAGTGATATGAATTTTTTTTTTTTGATTATGACCGTGTGTGTGTGTGTGTAATCGATTCTAGATAGATAGAATAAAACACACACACACACACACACAAAATTTTTTCATTCTTTTTTTGATGTGTTTTAAAACGGGAGGGGGAAAAAAATTTCACTTTCGGATTTTTTCTTGAAAATATCCGATTCGAAATTTCAATTTGATTTGTTTGAAGGGGACTGGTTTTTTTGGGGGTGGTGAGCGAATATATACAATTATTCCACAATGATGTGTTTTTTTTCCTTTCATGAATTGTGATTGCATTTTGTTGTTGTTGTTGAATACATTATTCTCTATTATTGGGTAGATAAAACGATCAAAAAAAAATTGACAAAAAGCACACCAAAACAATTGTATAATTCATTTTGTTTTGAATTGCAATAGAATTGGTGGGAAAAAAAGCCATAAATAAATCAATATTCAATATCGTTATCGAGTGTGTGTGATAAGATGCGAAAATATGAAATATTTCTCATGTTCTAACAAAAACAGCACAAATTATTTATTCACCGGAAAATAAGTGTTTTTTGTTTCGTTGTTTTTGTTTCATCACCATATACCGGTTGATGATGATTTCTATCCATTATTTGTTGGTCAATTGTTGTTTATCAATCTCTCTCTCTCTATATGAATTAATATTAGTTTTTTTCCACCCATTTTACCATTGATAATCATTCATTTTGAAGCAACAAACAACTATGAATGACGTCATCATCATTGATTGTATCTGTATTGAATTTGCCGTTATGAAATTGATTATGAATGATGACGACGATGATGATGATGAATTAATGAATGACAACATTCAAGCCAAAATTGTTGATTATTTCATCAGCATGGTAATTAACAAAAAAAAAAAATGAATTCTTTTTAATTGCTTCCAGGCTTTTCCAGTGAACAAGAAAAAAAAATTTAGTTTTTTTTCTGAATTTAAATTTTATTCTTTTAACCAAAATTTAAAAAAAAACTTTACATGACCAATGGTCAATCTGTGTGTGTGTGTGTGTGTCGTACTATTTCAACCATTGTTTTCTTTTTTTTTTGCGTAATAAAATGAGCGAATAACCAAAATGAATTGTCCCATGGTCATTAAAATTAACTATTTTTTTTTTTCTTTTCTTTACCATTATTCAGTTGTCAAACTACCGTTTTTTTTTTGTTTGTTTGTTTGTTTTTTTTTTGGACATTTAGTTTTATTTTCTTTTTTTTTTATTCTGTTTTAATCTGATCTGAACTGGTTTTTGTTCTCTCTCTCTCTCTCTCTCTCTCACTCTGGAACTTGTCTTCCGCTTGTTTCTGGGTTGTTTTTTTTATCGTTTTTTTTTTGTTTTTCTATGGTTCCAAAATACATTATGGTTCAATGGAACAAAGTTGACAGTTGTTTTGTTGTTGTTGTTGTTGTTGTTGTCGTCGTCGTTTGAAAATGGAAAAAAAAGTGAAAAAAAAACAACAACAACAGCCACAATTAATGTATGAAATGAAATGACCTGAATTTGAATGAAAATTTTTTTTTTTTTTTCGTTGGCCACTGATTAAGCATTCTATGTGAAAATAAAAGTTGTTTGGTTATTAAAGCACATCACATTAAATCTGAAAATTTTAGTTCACACTTTTAATTTTTCAACTACTACTATTATTATCATATCTATGTGTGGTATATACATTAACCGAAATTAAAAAAAAAAATTGAAAAAATTTCAAAATTTCTGTTGTACTTGAACAAGCATCAGATTCAAACTTTAAACTTTTTTTTGAATTTTTGAATTTTTCAATTATTAATGCAATGATTACGAGAATTTTTTTTTTTTTTTTTTCCATCATCCAATCGGATGATTATAATCGGCTTGAAATTGAATTCTTGCTGTGAAAAAATACATTGAATGAATACCGTGGTAGCCAAAAACAATACCGGAAGCAGCAGTTAACTTTGCACTTAATTTTTTCAATATACATTATTTATATGTGAATGTAAAATATTAGAATCGGTAAAGTTGTAGTTGTTTGCTGTTGTTGTTGTTGTATTCAAGTATGTATTCAAAATATCTACCCAGGTACATTGTGGAAAAACTTTACCTTTGATTTACATTTTTTTTCCTTCTTGAAAAACAAATAATAAAAATCTGATGACATAATCATTCGAGAATAAAAAAAAAAAAAAAAACAAAACAATTATCATCCACCATTGTTTGGTTTGTTCATTCAGAATTGTAGAATTTATTTTTTTGTCTGAATATTCACGTTCCGCCTCCTCTTGGTAATTTCAGAGAAAGAATATAAAAATACAAATTTTCTTTTTATTTTTTCTGTCGTCTGTATTTTTATATAATACAGAATCAAGTAGTTCTCTCTGTGTGTGTGTGTGTGTGTAAGTGTAAGTGTGTATGACCGCGCACATCCAACAAGAATCATCGACGCCGTCATATTCTTATTCTTATTTTAGAATCAAATCGCACACACACACACACACACACACATCATCAGCCACTGAACAACGTTTATCATCACATTTTCAATTCAGTCATCCATTCATTCATTCATTCATTCATTGAAATACTCCGGCAATCTTATCGATCCATTCGCATTGTTTGAATTTTGAAAATTTTGAATTTCATT